GCGAACTGTTCCAGCTTCCAGTCTAGTAGGTTTGAGATTTTATGTTAGTTTGTTCTGATTTGATGTCTCGTAATGTAGCTTTAGAGTTTTACTCATTGTCTTTTTCCTGTTAGCATGAAGCTAAAGTTGCTAGCGCACTTTACTGTCTACCCGGACAGCGCACTAAACAAGCATGAGCTATCTTGTTTGCACTTGCACTCATGTACTTTAAAGAGAATATGATTCTCTGTTATCTAATGTATATCTGATCATAAGCAACAATAAAATACATTAAACTGTGACGTCTACTTATAAATTACTAAAGAGGTAAATACCATCATTTTCATTCAATAAACATAGGTTCTTGTGTTTAGGTCAGATATTTGACAAATCCAGTGCCTGTGCACATTCCACCTAAATTAGTAAATTGTTATTAAAAATTATATAAATATAGCTGCAAGCAGCAATTATCAGGGGCCAAGCAGTCCAGTGGCCACATTATAAGCAAGCACGGCAACAAGCTACACAGCAACTGGAAAATTCTGTAACTTTTTGGCAGCATGGTCTGAGCCAAATTTGGAGGAAATTGGGCTAACAATTCAATTCAATTCAGCTTTATTTGTATAGCGCTTTTACAATGTAGATTGTGTCAAAGCAGCTTCACATAAATGGTCATAGTAACTGGAAAAGTGTGGTTCAGGTTTTAGTGTTTAAGTTCAGTTCAAAACCTAGTTAGAAAGTTCAAAACAACAGATTTTTAAACTAATTCAAGGTAAGGGACAGGAAGTCAATAAATTGTTCTCTGTATGATCCAAGGAATCTACAAGACCAGTCTCATGACAATAGACAAAACTATTCAAAAGTCATTTGATAAATTTTATATGATTTCTATTGATTGAATGTACTGTAATTATTAGTCAGTTTTACCCAGAAGGTGGTTCAAAGTGATGTAGCTTGGTCAATGTCAAGTCTAGATCACACACTTTATAGCCTATTTGTTTTCAGTACTTCAACCCATTGCAGTGATTCAGCCTGTAATGTCATCTGGCAGCATTACATCAAGTTTGGGCATATGCTAAATGACAACAGTTTTGTCAATCGACATGAATTCCATAACTTTTGGTCCAAGTGGTCTGAAGATGATTAGAGTAAAATATGGTGAAGATTGGACCAACGGTCTAGGAGAAGTAAAGAAAGAATTGTTTTGAACAAAATCAAGATGGTGGAGTAAAATTTTGGCAGATTATGGCAGACATAATTGGTATCTTTGTTGTTGGTATGACTCAAGGAATAATTTAAGACCAATGTCATCAAAATAAACATATGCAGGCAAAAAATATTAACAAATTTAGAAGTTTCATTAATAATGGCTCATGACTGTCTTGTAACTCTTGACCCATAGGTGGCACTGTCACTAAGGTTTTATGTTGTGGTCAGTGTAAGGAGACAATGACAGACCTAAAATTTCAATGTTACTTAAGACTAGATTTTGGAAGTTCAGTTAATTAAGGCATAATTGGTATCAATATTCTCAAAACAACCCAAGGAATGTATTTCATGAAAAGGGTCTGGGTTCAGTCTACAGGACAATTTCGATCACCTGGTGCCAGTGAGTCTGCTCTGAATATCCCTGGCTGACAATTTAATTACTCCGGGACACTTCACAGGCTGTCCTAACTCCCTCTCTGCCTGACTTCAAAAGAACATGGCCGATAAGATAAAAGAGAGAAAAAACCCATATTTTGTCAGCCTTCTGCTTACAGACAAAGATATTCCTCCATACTAAAAAAGGACATTTAGAACCCAAATCTCTTGTTTAATTACACCTAACTTTTTATGTGTAGAAACATCATATAGCCTGTCCACATTTGTACTTTTAGGCCTTTTTAAAAGCATCAATGATGTAAGGATGTGGGAATTATGTTGATGTACTTTTTTTAAAAGCCATGTTTGGTGTCGATGGACTCCTCTTGACATTTTACAACACATGATGCGTAGAGCATGATAATAACTTGTACGGCATGCATTCTTTAATGCCCTGAATTAAAGACCATCCTTTGGCTGGGGGAGGACTCTCAATTTGCATATGAGTAGCCTAGAGACAAAGAGAAGTTCGAAATCATTGGTCGAGTATGCTGAATGGGTTGTGATGTGGCCCACAGTTATAACCCGTCTGCTCCCCAAAATCGGAGCAGAAAAAACCCTTCAGAAAACCCCTCCGCAGAACCTTCTTCTGTCCTCGTTTCTTTATTTTCCGACTTTTGAACTCAGTTTAATCTCGCGCCTCATGGGACCATTCAACTTAAGGTGCTTTCACACCTGCCTTATTTAGTTCGATTGAATCGCAGTAGAGTTCGTTTTCCCTTTTGGTGTGGTTCGTTTGGGCAGGTGAGAATGCAGCAATCGTATTCGAGTGCGCACCAAAAGCGGACCAAATAAGTGTACCGAGACCTGCTTGAAGAGGTTGAACAGTTCGTTTGTGGTGAGAATATGATCCGTACTAAAACAGGTCCAACCGCAAAAAGTACTGCGCTTTTTGGACTAATTCAGCTGCCGTAGGCCGATGCGCTGTGCATTGTGGGATATGGAGGAAAAATATTTGTTGACAGCGCTTTACCAACAGGGAGAGAGAGGGGAAAACATTACCTGATGGATCGTTGTTAATATTTCCGCAAGATGACCATGTTGCAGTTTAGCTAAATTAATTCACGCCTTCTCCTGAAGTGACGAGCGATGCATTAAAACACTGTTTTCCAGCCTCGACCGCGCTTCATTGTTGATATATATAGTTTGTCTAAAGCAGGGATACAATCAGTCAGCGCAGTCGTCCCTCCAGAGTAGAAACGATATTTTGTGTCTGACGGTTTTGTTTACCTGCGGGAGTTCATCCGCATTTTACCACACATGAATTCTAACCAATCAATAACCAGTTTAGGAAATATGTTTAACAACATCTGGCCAATAGGAGATGTGGATTTTGTCAGATGAGTGCATTTTGGTTCGTTTCAACTGCCAAAGCCAGCAGTGTGGTGTGAAAACGATCCAAAGACGGCAGAAGATGCAACAATGTATCATTTATTACCCTTGATGAGGACCAAATGAAGTGAATCACAGATGTGAATGCACCCTTAGACCAAGTTGAGCAGGACACACAAACTCCTACAGGATCTCCAACTTCCCCGCACATCGACCAAAGCTTGCACGACACGAGAGAGTAAATGCAAGTATATTTCTCCATATGCGTTCTAAGCTGTGCCCCTTTTTAAGGTGTTTATGATCAACTGGGGATTCTCGATATGTGTGGTTAAACTGAGCGAAATTTGTCATTCTGTACCTAGTTTCTGTATTTCCTCGCTTTTCTGTTTCTTTCTGTTTTGTTATATGTTCCATATATCCGTATCTAGCCTATCTAGAATTAGTATACGTTTGTCTTTCATATGTTATAACCATATATATCTACGTTGTTTGATATGTGTTAGATTAGTCAATAAACCTCATTATAACCACATTGGATTGTTTTTTGTTTGCCTCACAGAAAAAGTCACTGAAATGATAAATCCTTTTACTACCAGCTGCTATTAAGTTAATCAAAACTTATGAACGATTAAGCTTCCTCATAAGGAGTAGAAATAATTCCCTTTCTAAATAAATAGATCATTACAGAGTCTGCTCGGACGAGCAGCGAGGTCTGGTTATATTTATTTGGTCAAATTAACAATAAGTTATTGCAGAATATTAATGATTAATAATAATTCGTTATTGTTGATAATTAATATTCATAATCTGAGAGTCCGTTCGACCGAGCGGCAGGATTATATACAATTATACATTTGTTTAACCAAATGGACCGAAGATTAAGCTGGAATATTAATTTTTAATAATAACTTGTTATTATTGATTATTCATATTCATAAACTGAGCTAATTTCGCTACAGTATCAAGACAAGTTTCATAAGCAAAATTAGTCAAACGTTATTAGCATTTTTAGAAATATTGTTATAACTTTTGACCAAAAGGTGGCGGTGTGACAAAACTTTTTGAGCACCTTCAGTGCCCAGTCATAAACACAAATTATGAGTTTCATAACAATTTGCTAATAAGTTCATAAAATATAGCAATTTTTGACATTATTCAAAATGGCAGACGGGCAAAATGGCAACAACTTCTACGTTAAATTTGTTAGCAAGTTAATTAAAAACAGTTGGTCCAATCAACTTCCATTCATAACTTTTGGTCAGCATGGTCTGTAGATTCATTTTTGGTGAAAATGGGACAAGTTCATTCAAATAGGTTTTGCGAAAAATTTGAAATAGCAAAAAAAAAATAAAAAATTGTCTCAATTGGCTCAAGAATCGGCTTGAGCCAAGGAATCAGAGGAAAAAAGCCATTCAGTTCAGAAGTTATAAAGATAAGCATAAGTGAAACTTTGGACAAGTGGTGGCACTAAAGAGTTTGAGCTAAAAAATCCCAATTTATTGTGGTTAAAAATCGGACTGTCCTCTATCAGTGTACCAAAGTTTGTGCAAATGCCACAAATGGTTTATAGGGCAACTGTTCAAGCAACCTTCAGTGCTTGGCCCCTAATTATTAGCGGGGCGACACGGTGGCTCAGTGTTTAGCACTGTCACATCACAGCAATAAGGTCACTGGTTCGAGCCCCGGCTGGGCCAATTGGCATTTCTGTTCGGAGTTTGCATGTTGTCCCCATGTAGGCATGGGTTTCCTTCGGGTGCTCCGGTTTCCCCCACAGTCCAAAGACATGCGCTACAGGTGAATTTAATAAACAAAATTGGAAATAGTGTATGTGTGTGAACGATTATATATGGGTGTTTCCCAATACTGGGTTTCTGCTGGGAAGGCTTCCGCTGTGTAAAACATATGCTGGATAAGTGGTCAATTCATTCTGCTGTGGCGACCCCTGATGAATAAAGGGACTAAGCCGAAGAAAAATGAATGAATAATTATTAGCAGTTATAATACATTATTCACAGTATAATTGTAATAAATCTCTCACACACGCATACAATTAATAATTGTGTTTTTATTGTTAATTAATAATGTATATTCACAAAACTAAACGGTAAGATTCTAAAAGCTGAAATTATGTGATCAGAACTAAAAACGAGAAAGTAAAAAAATACAGCAAGTAATGTAGTACAGAAACTATGAGGTGCTCCTCTCCTCTCATTTAATCTGCTTTATCAAAACTGTACAGTTATCAGCAGCATCGGTTTCCTTCATTGTGTCTGGCACTTTTTTATTTTACATAAGGTAAGTAACCTTTTAATACATCATGATTCGATTCAGAAAGTGCAAAATATGTCTACTCTCTTACGTTCTGACCCTTTTTTTTCTATCCAGTTGTGAATTTCAGGTTGACAAGGCTCTTGTAATGACATTGGAGTAATGTATCTCAAGACATGCAGTGTTCATGCAGCCCAGTGAATAGTTCATGCCATCTCTGAATTGGATCATTTCAGCAGTTTATGAATCTACCACATTCTATTTGATTTTTAATTTTACAGTACATCTGAAAAAGAACAATGCATGCAATGATATGTATGCTGACCATTATGAAATCGAATTTGTAATTCAAACAGTTTTCTTAAATAAATCAAACTAATATGTATAAAAAATGATCTAAATTGACGTTCCCCTCATAAAAATACAAAAAACTCTAAAATAAAATAAGCTTTCATATCAAAGATTCATTCCATCAGAGGCAGATTCTTAGAGTGTACAACTCATTAAGAGAGTGTTATTTTAGCCGAACATGTGGCATATTAATAGTCTCATTGCTGCCTGTGTTGGATGTATGTCCACTTGCTAGGCTGTGACTAGCACCAGCTGCAGTGCTTGTCCTAAGCAGCTCGGAAGAGTAAGACGCATCAATGGGGGCCTGGGAGAGAAAGTCAAACCCTTGATTATGTGCCTTTGTTGATGTATCCAAGTCTCTATCGCTGATAAAGAGATCAGCTTCTCCCCAGCCCCCTGCGCCCATCTCAATACCACCCGCTGAAGAGTCCTGGCTGCTGCTGATGCTGGTGGAGAAACTAGCCTGGCTAGAATGCGTGTCCACACCCACACCCTCCAAAGCGGGTTGAATGAGATCCTGCACTGATAGGGACTTCCCCAGTCCTCTGTCCCCACTGCACTGGCCTTGAACTGGGGCAAGAGGTGAGACTGGAGCAAGGGGGTCCATCTCCACCTCTGAATCCAGACTTATATGTCTTCTCCAAGAACTGTCCTCTTTAGCACTGGGTCTGTTTTTCTGCTGAAGCTTGCAGATCATACTAGAGTTGAGTCCAAGGTCTATCCCAACTCCTCTGAAGCAAGACTTGGCGTAGTCTGCGGGATCCGACCTAGTGGGTCCCATACTGCGAGCATGGCCTGCTTGTGAAGGAACTGTGGAAAGTTGATATTTTGAAGTGGTTGTGGATGAGAGAGGTGGAGGTGGTTGACCCACGCTTGGAAAGTGGCCTATAGAGCAGTGAAAACTGTTGGCGTTTAGGATCTGAGATGGACTGCCTTGTGCTGACGGACACTCCAGTGATGGAGTTGAAGGAACCTGGAAGGTCGACAGGTTAAAAGGGGAGGCGGACGCTGGGTTGAGTCCTGGGGAAGATGTTGTGGAGTTGTTCTGGTTGAGGTTCATGAGTTCATTGGGGGCTAATATTAGCTGGAGGGCCCTAGGGTGATTGCCACAGATGGACTGGCTGACCTGCGACGCACAAGAGAGATCCTTACTAAGGACGGTGCTCTGATAATCTGAATTCTCCTCCAAACCAAAAGGAGGAAGAGAGGAAAACGTGAGGGCTGTGGAAGAACCCTTCTGCAGAACCTGCCGGTAGATGTCCAGCAACGAGTCCAGCTTAGACTCAATAGATTGAACCTATAGAGAAGAACACAGAAATATTTTTGACTTAGTGTTGCATGAGTCTTTAAAGTAATAACTTTGCCCAATAGTTTACTCAACCTTATGCCAACCTTGGTGTATATAACTTTCTTCCATCAGATGAACACAGACGGAGTAGTTTTAAATTTTATCCTAACTCTTTCATGCTGTATAATATGAGGGTAGTGTCCTTTTTTAAGTTTCCAAAAATAAATAAAGCCACCGACAGACTAACCCACACGCTGCCAGGTGATATATACTGTACTGTACATTTTACATTTCTGGAGATTGTTAATCGTGTAGCCAGAGCTAGGTATGGCTGCATTTTTATTTTTAAAATGAATGTTAAGGGGCAGTATGACGACGTTCCTTTTCGCGCTTACCAGCTGACCGCTTACCTTTATACGGATGGCTTTCCCGCTGTTACAAGTTGGTCCTGTTAGCTCGCCATGTACGTCGGTGGACTAAAAACGCAGAGAAGAGTTGACAACGATTTTAAAAATAAAAATAAACAAGTAAATAACAGGGTAAGAATTTGGTAAAATCTGAAAACGTGGCAAAAAATAAAAAAAATAAAACAAGGGCTTTTCTTTTTCTAGATTGCTTTTGAAAATAGTTGGTTGTGTTTAGGGAAGTGGGTGGGTGGGTCAATCAATACAATTGGTTGGGTTTAGGGAGGGAGGAGGGTGGGTCAGTTGATCGGTTAGTCAGTCAGTCATTCAGTCAGTCAAACAGTCAGTCGACAGCAGTCTCTAGTGGATTTACGTGAGAAGAGCAGGCACGAAAGGCACTCGCGAGAGAAATTTGAGATCTCGAAAAGCGTACACAGTGATCTTGCGAAAGCAAAAACAGCACAAAAAAAAAAAAAAAAACCTAGCTTCTCAGATGTATTTGACACTCTCCAGAAAGGTATATATGAGTATGTAATCAGAATGAGCCTGGCTTGGATTAAGCATGTCTTAGAAAGTGGCTACTTCATACCAGAAGTTCTGGGAATAAATGCTTATCATGGAAGCCACTTAGAGTTTATTTTTAACAGATGTACCAAGAAGTTGTCTAGAAGAATGCACATTTGAATGTGCAAGTCAGGGATTTAAGATAGTTGTTTAGAAATGTACAATTATTTTTATTACCAAAACACCTCTATCCTCTTCATAAGACACGCGTTAACCTCCTGATGGTGTTTGGGTTAGTTTTATGATGGATTTTTGAAGCTTCCAAAAATGGACACTACTCTACACATTTATACACCTTGGAAGAGTCAGGATAGCAGAATACCAACCTACCTCTATCTAATTTCTAAAATACCAACCTCTAACAAAAGTACCGGGCTTAAGATATATACTAGAAAAATCTGAAAACATGAAGTGTTAGACCAATTTATAAAAACATTTAAAGAAACTGTGTTCGTTTGATTGAACAAAGCCATATACACCAAGGCAAAGGTGTAAAGTAATTTTATTTGATTACTATACTTCATTTTTTTTTTTTTGGCAATTTTTACTTTACTTGAGTACAATTGATTTCAATTTTAATTACAGTCAAAAAGTAATCATTTTTTGGAGATAATTTCATCCAATTTCCTCTTGCTACAAACAAGCCAATTGAATTGCACTGTTTTAATTTAAAGGATGTAGCTCTGTCTTCAATTTGTCTAAACGATAAAAGTAATTGCTTAAAATCATTTATGTTAGTGTGTTGTTAGAAAAAAGGAATTACAAAGGAATGTTTTAAACATTTTTGTCTTTTTCTTTTCATTAAACAATTGTATTTGTATTGCTTAAAGGTGATATTATCTGAACATCTTCTTGAGTGTGATGTGTTTTGTATACTAATGAAACATTTTTGCAGAAGTAGATGAAGCTTGTCTAAAATTAACTTAAGCTCTGCAACGGAACTTCCTGTGAGCACAGAATTTGCAAGTCTTGTGCAGAGAGTTCATAGAACAAGAGGATTTATGTATGGGATTTATGTATGGGAGTGGCCAATGGAGGACTGGAGAATGATTGATAAGTGACAAATTTCACTAAACTCCACTTCTTTATAACGGCTGCCTATATAAGCTGAGGTCAGGAAATGAAAACTGTGCGCACCCCTTCATGTAACTCTTGTATAGCATTGTGGATAACAGATCCAATAATTCATTTGTATACAATAAATTGCTAATATGTTAAACCTTAAAGAAAAACCTTTTTATTGTACATGCATGGATTGATTGTATATTCCAACATTCACTCGGGTTCACTCATGTTTAGAATCAGATCATCCTTCATGTGCAGAGCAGTGTTTGTCAGTGTGGTGCTGTGTTATTCCCACTGACCAGTAGTGCATTTGTTCAATATACCAGTGTCTCTTTTCTTATGTGTAGATGTTTGTTTAAACACATTTTACAGTACATTGATAATTGCAGGCTCGAATGTCAAGCAATAACAAATTAGACAATAAAGATAATGTAGATCTTAAAGTTTGTTATCATTATGTGCAAATAGCTTCAAATCCTTCAAAAGCATGTAAGTCAGACAAAAGAAAGCAGAAGCTATAGTCTTAGTTAATCACTGTGTGCACCACATTGGTTTAGCTGCTTCTCAAGAATGGATAGTCATTCCTAATACTGCACCTTCAGAGAGGGGCAGGGAAGCCACAGCTCATTAAAGTAAGTTATAAACCTAAAGAGTCATATCAGCTTGTTTATAATGGGCTGCTGATGTCACCTTTAAAGGTAGATTAGGCGATTTCAGAGAGGCTAGCAGGCTTTGAAAGCCAAAGATCCTGCTCTTCCTGTGTAATCACTGTCAGAAACACTAATGAATACCACCTCTACCACCTAACTTATGAGTGATATTGAGATCTTAAGAGACTTTCAACCAGCATAACAAAAACTGTTTTTGAAACAAATGACCTATCAGGCCTTAAACACTTTTATCTCCACAATGCAGGGTTAACAGCACAAAATCAGTACTTCATAACCTCACGTAGAAAGTGATGCTAACCACACTTCTAAATTGTGTGAAATGTTGCTTTACCAAAGTTGAAAGCAAATACTAAAACATAATTAACCCTGGGGTTAAGTGCAGTGCAAAAAACCTTCATGAAGAAATTATAATAAAATGTTCAGAAGTCAGAGTCACAAATGAGCATATGATTATTTAATGCATTGTTTAGTACAGAATCTCTTTACTCACCTGTCTTTCAACCTTGCACACCCTTCCCAGCATGCTCACATCTTCCAGAATGTCTCCGTCAGATAACAGCTTTTCTCTGACCTTCTTATCCACAGGCATCTGGCCCCTACCAAGAATCTGATCAACCCTGAAAGTGAGGCATTAGCAGAATAAGAGAAGGAATGAAAGTGAAAGCAATTAAGATTTATATTAAATAATCATACAGAGGAATGACTGAATCTAAAGCATCTACAAACAAACAAACAAGAAATGGCAATAATATCACATACTAAAACTTAAATCTTGCCCAAAACAGATCTAATCGCAGATCTTTAACCCTTTAATTACCCCACCAAGAAAAAAAAAAGTTTGGATTGCATTTCTAATCTCCTAATGTTGCTAGTTAACACACTCAATGCATTTTTTTTTTCAACACATCCCATAATTTCTAAAATACCAACCTCTACCAAAAGTACCGGGCTTAATATATATATATATATATATATATATATATATATATATATATATATATATATATATATATATATATATATATATATATACTATGAAAAATCTGAAAACATGAAGTGTAAGACCAATTTATAAGAACCAAAAATATTACAAACAAAATATTTTTAAATACTAAATTACCTTTTTTTTGAGGTATGCCATAAAATATTTTCAGATTCTCATTCAACATGCTTTGTTTTTTTCTTTTTTCTTTTTTTTTTTTTACAATAAAACCAAAATCAAGCAATGGTATCTGCATGAAGCCTTTATGCAAGATGATATTGCATCACTGAGCGATGCAATGTCAAACACAATGTACTCAACGGAGTGAAGGGGTTAGGGGTGGGGTTAGGTGCACACATTAAAAACCATTGGATGCAGCTCAGATTGCACTACACCAGGTTTGCATCCAGACCACTCTCAAATCGAGTGTAGTAGTGCAACAGGATTATGTTTATTTTATCTTATTTTATTTTATTTATTTATTTTTTTTTGTAAACCAACAATGCTGTGTGTGTAAACCATTATTTAAAACAGTCATTCTTAAAATGACTTTAACAGTTACTTATTTAAAACAGTAAAAACATAGTCAACCGTTTGGTACATGGGGCAATCAAAGGGTTAAGACACAAAAAAGCACAATATCATCCCCACACTGTCAGGTGTTTGTGTTGTGTTCCATGTGCTTCCTGTTTTTGTCATGTGATTCCTTTATTCCATTTTCCCACCATGTGTTAATGTTTCAGTGCTTCCACCTGTGTTTTTCTCCTGTGTGTAATTAGTTCAGTTATGTCCTGTGTATTTAAGCTCCTGGTTTCTGTCTGCTTTTTGTCTGGTGTTGAAATGTTAACACTGCATGTCTTTCCTGAGTCTCCAGTGGGCCAAGTGTCTAAAGTAAGTGTTTGTTAATTGATCTGTATATTTGGATAATTCCTGAGGTTTGTGTGTTTATGGGAAGAGAGTAAATGTGACACACACAAATGGCTATTAATGGATATTAACCTACACACTGACCAAACTAATCTAATGCCAATTTCATTCATTCATTTTTCTTGTCAGCTTAGTCCCTTTATTAACCCAGGGTCGCCACAGCGGAATGAACCGCCAACTTATCCAGCACGTTTTTTGCATCGGATGCCCTACCAGCTGCAACCCATCTCTGGGAAATATCCACAAACTCATTCATACACTACGGACAATTTATCCTACCCAATTCACCTGTACCACATGTCTTTGGACTGTGGGGGAAACCAGAAGACCTGGAGGAAACCCACACGAACGCAGGGAGAACACTCAAACTCCACACAAACGCCAACCAAGCCGAGGTTCGAACCAGCGACCTTCTTGCTGTGAGGCGGCAGCACTACCTGCTGCGCCACTGCATCACCCTTCTAACGGCAATTTAGCACAAAAAAGCCAGTGATATCAACACACTACCATGTAAATCTTGCCCACACTGTAAAATAAAACATGACAAATCAAGACGACAAATATTTTATTTTTATTACTTTTAAATATTTTAGTAAGTTAGTATATATTTGTAAGTTATATATAGTTTAACTTGATATTTTTTTTTTTGTCAGTTTAATTGATGTAACTTGAGATGACTAGAACAATTTTATTCACCAAAAAAAAAAAAATTATATATATATATATATATATATATATATATATATATATATATTTATATATATATTTATATTTATATATATATATATTTATATATATATATTTATTTATATTTATATATTTTTATATATTTATATATTTATATATATATATATATATATATTTATATATATATATATATTTATATTTATATATATTTATATATTTATATATATATATATTTATATATTTATATATATATTTATATATTTATATATTTATATATATATATATTTATATATATATATATATATATTTATTATATTTATATATATATTTATATATATATATTTATATATATATATATATATATATATATATATATTTATTTATATATATATATATTTATTTAATTTTTTTTTTTTTTTTTTTTTTTTTTTTTTAACAGTGCAAAGACAAATACATTGCTCCTTGCTAAAATCAGAGTAAGAGCAGACTCAAGATTTACATTTTATTAGTATCTTGTGTTGTAAAATATGTAGAGGAATTCAAGGGGTGACACGGTGGATCAGTGGTTGGCACTGTCGCCTCACAGCAAGAAGGTCGCTGGTTTGAGTCCTGGCTGGGTCAATTGGCATTTCTGTGTGGTGTTTGCATGTTCTCCCCAGTAGGTGTCGGTTTCCTAGGGGTTCTCTGGTTTCCACCACAGTCCAAAGGCATGCAGTATAGGTGACTTGAATAAACTACATTGACTGTAGTGTATGGGCATCCGCTGTGTTAAACATATGCTGGATAAGTTAGCGGTTCATTCTGCTGTGTTGACCCCTGATCAATAAAGGGATTACTAAGCTGAGGGTGAATGAATAAATGAGGTAAATTTAAAGCTGACTGTTCCTTTAAAAACGTCAACAACTGTGATGTTCTGTTTTGGTCACATGGTGGCACTGGTCTCATTTCTTTAAAAACATTGATAATTAGATCGCACCAGACTACATTGCAAAAAATATGATGAAAACACACAGAGAAGCACACACAATTTAGTGAACAGAAGTTGCTTATAAAGACATAAATGGTTAGAAAAGTTAAACTTGACACACAGTTGTCTGCTTTTTGTAAAGTTTTAATTCTGGTTGCATCTATACTCCCATGGTCTTTTGGATAACAAAATGTCCTGCACACTTCACAATCTCAGCATCATTACATAATTTGAGGATTGTTTGATGATTGATCATTAACAGCCTAATCAACCCTTTTCACATTTTAGGAAGCAGACGGTACTCTTCTAGGACTGAACAGATAAAACAACTAATACACATTTTGAATAAATAATTCATTTCTGTGACTGTAAAAAAGATAGACAAACTTCTATTACAGTACATTGGCCAGAAAAAAAAAGAGGAAATATGCTGCATTTGCTGTCATTCCCTTAAGCAGGGTCCATATATAGAAACACTTATGAAGCAGCATTTAGTATGTTTCTGTTATTTAATGCTAGATGAAAATGTGTATAGACCACTTCAATGTGGAGATGCCATGGGCCCCTAAACATTTCCTTTTTGTTGTCAAACTATTTTAATAACTGTAAGAACAGGCAATTCAATTATATCTCAATGTTAAAACAGTTGTCATAACGTTATTTATCAATATGTGGACTTTTTTAGGATTCTTGGAAGCTATGGAAAATAAAAATGTAAACAGGAAATACATTAGGACCATTGTTATAGTTTACATCCTTCATAATGCACTATACATATAAAAAATACCCCCCAACCCTCCTGTATGCTGTATACTCTTCAACCACATTAAAATGTAGGTTGTATTTTGAGTTTAAAATATATGCCTTCATGATGTATGCAATAGTAATATATAACTTCTTTAATGTTCCACATTATATTCTCTGGCAGAACCTCAGGGCCCACCACCCAGTGACCCATATATGACCAAGGAGAACCATTGCTTCAGGGCCATCAGAACATGTGACATGATGGCATTATTGTGACTCAGACATAGCAGTATGAAGATGATATAGAGGTTATGGACATGTCCACTAACTGTCCTGAACAAGAAAGTGTTTTTGTCCAAATATTCAGCAATGCATGCGTTCAGGATAAATGATCTCAAAGCATCTAAATCTTGATTGCCTGTGTTAACCGCTGATGATTGTGCTGTAAATTTTAGAAAAACTTTTTATTCTGCTCTGTAAAATGTGTAATGTATGAAAGTGCTTATTTATAATGAATGCTGCAATGAGTTTTGACTGACTGTGTATGGGGTTTGACCCCTGCTCCAAATGCACTGCTATTAGCTGTAACTGAAATGTAAAGAAGGAAGCTCTAGTGATTAGTGTGCTTTATTTTGCACTCGTGGATTATTTCCTGTGGTAAAAAAACAGACTAAATAAAGATTCATTCTCTGAGGTCATTGATAAAAAAATGCTTTCAGTTCATTTGTATGTTTCAGTGCACTATATTCTTTGTGTTAGTGTACAAGTGTGTTTGTTAACTTTCAAAAATGTACTGTTCTCTGTTTCAATTTATTTTAAAATGCATTTATTCATGTGACATTTTTGGACCTAATTTTCATCAGGCATCATTCCAGTCTTTTGTCACATTTTCCAGTAGTTTTTGTTCTAATATTGGTGCTTAAGAAAGATTTATCATCAACAATTCTGCTACTTTACTTATTTTGATCTAAAGAATGCATCTTTGCCAATTAAAGGTATCCATGATGTCTTCACTTGTTATGATATAGTCAGAAATCTGACATGTCTCCGAAGTCCCTATAGTCTAAACCAGTGTTTCTCAACCACGTTCCTTGAGGACTACCGACACTGCATGTTTTAGATGTCTCCTTTGTCTGTCACACCCATTACAGGTCTTCCAGTCTCGGCTCATAAGAAAAGAATCTGAATCAGGTGTGTTTGATTAAGGAGACATGGAAAATGTGCAGAACTGGTGGTCCTCCAGGAATATGGCTGAGAAACACTGGTCTAAACAGTAAACATGTTGCAAATGCTCACAACGCAAACACATTAAAAATGCACTATAAAAATTTCGCACAATTGCTTTATGTAGTCCCAAAACACAAATAGATTAAGTTAACATAATTGTTTTTTCATAATTGTGGACTGAACATAAAAAATGAAGTTGTCCCAAAAACAAACTCAATAAAATTGCGCTGAATCAACACAATTCTTAAGTACTTTAAACAAGCTGCCAATTGACTGCTGCAAATTCTCACAAGGCAAACAAATTAGGAAAATGTGTTGAAATTTCTCACTACACATGCAAATAGCATGAAATACAGCAAAATGTTTTCAAGGAGACCCATACATGTGACACATAAACATTTCAAATAGAATGTACTGTAAAAATGCTGGGTTCCACACAATCAATTTGTGTTGGGATAACATCAAGGAATTAAGTTGACATTAGTTTTATACAAATGTAGGTGGATTGAACCTAAAAGCAATTAAGTTGTCTCTCAAAAAAACTCAATAGTTGTGTTGTTTTAGCTTTTTAAATACAGTAAGTAGTTTGAATAAACCGCAAACATAATTTTGTGTGAAGACTAACTAATACATACATGCGTACATACATACACTACCAGTCAAAAGTTTGCAGTCAGTTTTTTTTTTTTTTCATGTTTTTTTAAAGAACATGTTTGTTTATCAAGGCAGCATTTATTATTTAAAGGCGGCATTTATTATGTAAAAAATTGTTACATTGTTAAATATTTATTTAAATTTATAATTACTGCGTTCTTATTGTATGTAGTTTCAAATGAAATTATTACTCCAGTCATTATTGCTTTTATTACTATTACCAATAATAATAATAATAATTAATAGAGTTATTTCTGAAGGATCATGTGACTGAAGACTGGATTAATGAAGCTAAAAATTCTTCTTCAAAATCACTGAATTAAACTTAAAATAAATTATAAACTACTTTTGAACAGTTATTTTATAGTGCAATAACATTTTTACTATTTTACATTTGTCCTGTATTTGTAATGAAATAAACGCATCCTTGGTGAGCAGGATAAGCTTCTTTTAAAACATCTTACTGAGCCCAAACTTTTGACCGATAGTGTACATCTAACTTAAAGATGAAATTTGATGCATATGATGGAAAAATTTTTATACAGTATAGTTGGTTTGTCCTACCTGGTTTGCAGACTCTTAATTCGGCAGAGCATGTCCAGATGACCAGCTGAATATTGCTCTATTACATCCTTCACATCATATGGGCGCAGAGTTTCCTTAAACTTCTTCTTTGCCACATGGAATTTCATGATCCTGCAGAACCATACACTAATATTAATGTAACATTAAACAAACTGTTGTACCAAATTATATTAAACAAGTGCCTTATTCTAATTTCCCTTTTAAGTGAAATTTAATGTCAATGAACCTTTTTAAATATCTTGGTTTGGTATATTTCAAATCAACATATTTAGAGTTTAGGTTAATTCAGCATTAAATCAGCATAACTAAGCTTTTAAAAACTAAGGTGACTCAATAACATTGCAGACAGATTAAACAACCTGAAAAAGTCTGAGCCTGCATTACACACCCGACAGGGTACAAATAGGCCCCAGCTGAAAGCTGCAGGGCTACTAAAGCAGTTTGCCTGCAGCAACGACTATTCAGTAAAGCAGGACACTCTAAACTATACAGCAAGTTCATTTTTCAGAGAGAGGTTGGAACAATAAGCACATACTGTCAATCCAGTGCTTTCCACTGACCCACACATTTTAGACAAAACAAAAAGAAGAGTGTGGCTGATGAATGTGAAGTGTGAAGATGACAGTATTCTTTCTTGATAGTGAAATTAGAGAAACAAGATAATGAGGCACTGATTCATCTCTTGCTCTCAGTGACTGAGAATAATTAAATATGACTGACATGACGACAATGCTGCATTCATTAAAGGTGATATCAAACTTTGTTTGGTGTTTTTTTTAAAATACTTTATTTTCTCAGGTTAGGCTATAGAGTAAGTTTACTCTATACTCTGTTCTTTATTTAAGTAAAATATTTGTAGGCTTATTGTCCTAAAAGTATAAACACCTATACAATAAACACCTGCTCTTAAAACCTTGCAGTATTAGCTTTAAGCATTAACTAAATTTAGAAATTTACATTTAGCTAATTAAAGAATTTCTATACCACAAAGGTAAACAGTTTATATTGAGTAAATATAATAACTGATAACATAATGCTATATCGGCAAGTGGCTTGATATTGGTAACCACAGTTGATTTTTACCTTGACTGGTTGACTGGTGTACATAGATTTGGTTGGGTTTGTTTAAATAAAAGCAATTCCACCTGTTTTATTAAGTAACTAAGACAACATAGACTCAACAAACAGTGAGGGGGAAAAATCTGTAGATTTCGGTAGCACAATAAAATACAGTTTACTTTCAAAATGTAATATGCTTCTAACATACACTAACTTTAATAGCTTGGACATTTATTATGCAAATTATGCTGAAGATTTGAATTAATTAATGCAACATACTGTAAGCTCATTGGAAATGTAGCTTTTAGCACTAGTTCTACAATGAAAACCTAATGTCAAGTCACTCATCACAATCAATTCCAACCAATAGCCAAGAGACACAAGGGATATATATAAGCTGTCCATTCATTTCATTTATTTGTGAAACTGCAAAATTACAATTAAAAATACTGCAGATTTTAGGTAAAATAAATGCTACAGGAAGTACAACAGCATCTGTTCCTTTTCACACTAATGATAGGTACAAGGACATATTATCAGTGAATAAATGATTATTTTCATATAGTTATTTGCACAAAAGAAATAAAATCTACTTAGAATGGTTTCACACTTAGTCCAAATGCCTGGTCCGAACCTGAGTTTGATTGTCCTTCCCCGGTTTGTTTGTGGTCACACCGGCTTATTTCCTTCTAAACCCTGGTAGGCTTACGTCATCAAGCTACGGTTTTGTGTACAGCTGTTGCTAGATGACGCCATGAAAGCAAAGTGCCAAAATGGTCTGCATATCACAGTCATTCTGCTTTAACTGAATCTTTTGGTTTTGATACCAGAACCAAAATACATAGAGCTATTAGCGTTTATCTGCCGTAAAAACATAAAAAATGTTTAGAACATCATGCAATGTCTGCAGAACTCATTTTTGGGAAGACAAGCAGACATTATCATGGTTTGTACTGCATGGGTCAGTCCCGCTTGTCACCAAGGTAGGTGATACACTGACATACACACACGAATGAAGCTTATTAAAAACAAAACTTTGTTGTGCAGTTGGTGGTTCAATTCTGTTTTTTGGTATGCTTTTATTCATATCAGAAGTAAACCGTACCAGAGTTCACACAGACCGTAACCCAGACCACCTCTTTCAGGCGGACTAAATTCAGGTTCATGGGTGCGCAGTTCAGAAAACAGTGTTCACACTAGCTAAACACACTATACTTTGATGTCAAACAAACTGGGGTGTGGACCAAAAGTGCTAGTATGAAAGCACCCTTAAAATCTAGGTAAAACCATGGTTGTACTGCACTTTTCTCCTGCAATTGCTTTTGAAAACATTATAGGTTGGGTTTAGTGTGTTTGTCAGTGGTTTGCTTGATGATCCGTCAAACCCAGCCTTTTTGTAGATATGTACAAAAAGGATGTGAATCTAAAATACATAACAAAATTTATCCTAAGTTATGCATTTAAGATTCACAACAATAAAGACAACATCCTCTAATGGATATCACATCTGAAATGTGCAACGAAACGTACCTGGAGCAATGTAGTTTATGTTTCGCAAAAATGTAAGCTGAGGCACACATTTCCAATGAGCCTGAGTTGAATTCCTATTAGCATTTACTGATGGCTCATCAACAATAATATCTCTGGCAAGTAGAAATATAATATAAAGAGCTCTGACCTCACTGCTCTGATGACGGTCTTCAGCGCAGACGGCAGATCCTCCACCGACATGTCACAATGACATCCTTTCTCATCAAAAGCCTCATCCACAGTAACGTTAGCCTCACCTGTGACACACACAATGACAAATAAAAAAAAAGTAATTAGCACTTGGAGAATAATATGTCAGTTAATATGTCAAGCAAAAACGATATGTGAATCACTACATGGAAAGATCACCAAATGAAAAGAACAAGGGACAGATAAACAAACAGTAACATTCATTTGTCATTTATTTGAAAAGGCACTCCTACTCATCTGAGAGCAACATCAGAGGGGAAAAAAAAAACATTTGGAAAATTAATATACTCCAATAATGTAGTGTGGGTCACATTTATTTGAACAGAAATGAAACGAGCGATATAAAACTTTTTTTCTTTACACTGCATACAGTAAAAAAAACCTTTTCACTTTCTTATTTTCTTTAAAAAAAAAAAAAACATTTTACTTTGAGCTGACTACACGTTGCATTTTAAAAATTCAATAATCAATCTAAAAATGTAATTCAATTTATTGCAAAATTTAATTCCACTTATAACAGATGATGTTCTGCCATATGCACTTCTTTTTTCAATATGACTTTTCCCAGTAATATTCTTTGTGACTGTAGGGACATATACACCACGGGAGCTCTAACAAACATGAATGTAGAACTAAGCACATTTCTGGACCTATGAAAGGTTATATATGGCTACAGCTGTGATGTAAACCAGAGACTGTGAAAAGGAACATGTGCTGGATGTACAGAATTAATCTTGCCCTCTGCTTCATGAAGGATTCCCACAGCCTGACTAAAAAGTTGGCAATCGATCAGTCTAGTAAAAACAGAAAGATACTGTATGTACAGCCATAGGGCATATCTGAGGCAAAAAAAATGAAGGTTTCCTGCGTGTGCTTTCAGGAAAAAAGATTATTGATTCTAGAATTGTACTTTAAAAAAAAAAACAAACTAGAACTAGAACTAGAACTAGAACTGCTAGACTGAGCACTACTTTTGACCACTCGTGCTGGACTGAGCAGAATGTTATTTTTGCCAGGTTTTAAAATAAAGCTTTGAATGTCTGTTGTTCTAACATTTTATTGTAATATTTAACAGTGTAAGAGCTGCTGCCCTTGAAGTTGTGAGCCTTGCTTTGCTTTTTTTATCACAGAAAAAAACATTGTTTTCGAAAGTCTAAATGCCATCAAATATCGACTGAAGCAGAATATTTTGTAGATAATGCTGCAAATTTTGGAAATAAATAGGTCTATTTTTTTCAATAAACAACATTTGGATTTTTAGACTATACAGCATTGTAGAGTTAATGGAAACAATATTGTGCAGTCATTACATAAATCAAAAAACTATGAATAAACTGGATCTGTTATGGCAAAATAGTTAATAGCTAATAAACATTAGGACACAAAATGAAAAGGATAATGAACGAATGAAATGTAATAGTTTGCAGAAAAAAAACCCTATTTAAGCTAATTACAGATAGACATTTCAAGTAGAGCAATATTCAGTTCGTTCTTTTGTAAAATAAAACAAATAATTTCTCAGTATTGGAAGGGCATCCGACGTCTAAAACATATGCTGGAATAGGTTCATTCTGCTGTTGTGACCTCTGATAAATGAGAGAGTAAGCCAAAGCAAAACGAATAAATGTATGAATGAATGAATTAATGAATGAATATATTTATTGGATTTACATTTTTTAAGGTAAGCGTTTGTAAACAATTTATAAGGGCTAAATTTTAACTAATTTAATATTGTTCAGCTCAATTTGTTTGTTTAAATTCAGCTTATATAAATTGTTTGCAACAATTTGCAACAAACCATTTTTTCAGTTTATTTTAATTCACAGTAAAAACATTTATGGAAAATATGGAAAAAGTAGCCTGCATTAAAATAATTTGCCGTTTATAATGCATAATGTCAACTAATCACATTTTGTTCAGTGTAATACAATTAAAATTGAAAAACAAAATCTAAAATGTCATCATTGAGTACTCATGGTGAATAATCTGACCTGTGTGTCTAAGTGGGAGAAGACATCCCACCTTCAGATGTCAATATGCAAGGCCAGCAAAATTACTCACACAGCTAATAAAAACAGGAACTGCATGACTGGTTATATTTACATACCCTGATATATTTTGTTAATAAGAAGTATGATTCTCTTGATTCTTACATGATTTTAAAAATAGAAATGAAACTTCTGAGAGTGTTGCTAGCAATTGCTTTACATGTTTATTTCATGTTAATGCTTCATGTTTTATGCTGTAGGGAAACACAAAGCATGTATGCACATAAAGACACTTAACATAATACTTTTTCATTAACTGTTTGACTAAACTAGTCTGGTTTTATAATATTACATCAGATGCCTTGCAGCTTTCCCTCTATGTATCAAGACTTCAGATTGCATCTAAGTCAAACCATGTCTTGATATACAGTATTCATTCATTATTGTATTTGAATTATGCATAATACATATATTACTACAGAAGAGATGCCTTAACCTCGCAGGGCATGAAAGGAAAGCCTCGGGCAGTGTAGTCAAGTGAGTGAATGAAGTTTTCTCATTCATTGCATTACTTTATTGCTTATCTACTGTTATGCACTAGGCCACTCCATTCTTTGCATTTAAATGGCTGAGAAGTTTTACAAAATAATATTTACTTTTTATGGATTTTATCACTCTGCTTTTCGGTCAGACTGTGTTATGAACAGTATCCAGTATCCAGTGGGAGAATCCAGTTCAAGACAAATTCTTTTTCAAAAATTTCCCAAGTGATGTTTAACAGATCAAGGACACTTTTAAAGCCTTTAAATTGTACTTCAATTTGAATACTTATATCTCGCAAAATAATTGGTAAAACATTATGCACTTTCAGCATGGGAAAGACAAGTTAAATGTTTAACTTCTCTAAGTTAAACAGCACTTGGGAAATATTTACAAATCAATACAAATTTCTCAGGTCGGCTAATGATTTTGTTTTCAACTGTATGTCATATAATCTTTACTGAAACATGACACTATCCCTGTAATAACACTGTTGCTTTTGAGACATAATAAAAATTAATTCTGCTTCAAGTTGTTTTGATATATTTTAATTTGTAGTGCAAAAACAGACACAAAGTAATTGCCAATATTGTGTCTTTCAACTAATTAACTTCAACCCAACATTACCTCCTTCATTTACTGCACATTTGAGCAATATCACATTTACAACCCTCTACTGCACTCTTGCCTGGATGCCATTGGTTCAGTGAACAGATTTTCTTTAAAGTCCATTATACTGATCACATCACCACAGGGAATGATTACACACTGATAATTTGCAATAAACCAATAATAAAAAATAATGACTAAAACATGACGAGGGAGAATGATCAAGAACTTTAAAAAAATAAAAGAAATAAAAATCAAAGTGTGGTATTGTTCCATACAGAGTCAGTATCCCTTAAAGTTTTTTAGGATTAAATGTTAACAGATGTGACCAAATTCCCTGTAAGAAATCCATAGTGTTTATTGTGACACAATGTGTACCCCAAAATGCTTCTTACGTCCTTGACACAGCACTCAAATGTGACACTGAAATTAAGCATCGAAATTTATTTGCTGATTTGGTCCGGTGCATACCGGTTACATACTGTAGGTATGGGACCGGATTTCGGTACCCAACCCTACTTGTAAGAGACTGCTCTCACACTCTCACAAAAGACCACATTGTCCTCTGATAATGTCAACAGAGTGGTCCGTTTCAGCAACTGGCTGAATGTAAAGAAGGATTAAACAAAAATGTTTCTACTTCACTATTAATCTCTCAGCAATACCACCTTTCAATGAGTACAATAGTTTGTATTTATTACTTTATAATTATAATTTTTCAATTTCCATATTTGCAATGCCTGTATTTTGGATTTTTTTGCAGTCCACTTAGAATCATTTATTCATTCATTTTCTTTTCGGCTTAGTCCCTTTATTAATCAGGGGTAGCCAAAGTGAAATGAACCGCCAACTTATCCAGTATGTTTACGCAGCAGCTGCCCTTCTAGCTGCAACCCAACAAAGGGAAACACCAATACACACTCTTTCACTCACGTACATTATAGCCAATTTAGCTTAGTCAATTCACCTATAGCGCATATCTTTGGAGTGTGGTGTATACCAGAGCACCCAGAGGAAACCCATGCGAACACGGTGAAAACATGCAAACTCCACACAGAAATGCCAACTGACTCAGCTGGGGCTCCAACCAGCGACCTTCTTGCTGTGAGCCGATCGTGCTACCCACTGCGCCACCATGACACTCCCACTTAGAATCCAACATGGAAATAATTTTTATTTTATTGCCATTGATTGTTTTGAAATTCAATGGTACTTGCTTGTTTTTATTTTTGAAATAAATTTGGCTTTCAAACTAACAGTTTGAGGATTTGTATTGTTTATTGCAGGCATGTTGTTCACATTAAGAAATCTGTTACAAGTTAAACAAATATTCTAATAAACAATTTTAAATTTGAATTTAAATAGTTTAAGTTAAATAGTTTAACTTAATTAAGTTTTTTTTAATGATTATTTATTTATTGCAGAACAAAACCAGCAAACATAGCTAGCAACAACTATATACAAGCCAAGGTTTGCCATAAATGAAAATACATAAAAAAAGAAAAAAAAATACAAATAATAATAATAGTAAAATAAAGACAATAGTTTATTTGTCTTGAGTTAAATATTTAACATAAATTTACATTTGAATAGCCAAATTACAAGTCAGTCTTTTAATTGTAATTAATAGCGATTAATTGCAAAAAAAGTGTGATTAATTAGTTATATTTTTTTAATCGATTGGCAGCACAAAAAATACACAAGTGCATAATGCAAAGCAGAGTATAGATGTATATAAAAAATCAGTATGAAAATACTGCTTCATATTTACACATTACACTGGACCCTATTATTCAGTTTTCAATCAAATTGCAGTCAATGTCTTTTTGGAACCCAGTCAGGATAATTTGGATTCACAATGATCTCAATCAGATGGACAAACTATCATTTTTAGCAACGACCAGAAATTATGATAATTAAAACCATAATTATTATCAACATAACAATCATCATAAGCTCGCTAATGTGCACCATGACTGGCTGTAATAACACAATGAAATTCTAAGACACAAATCACATGTTTGCAACAAAAAAAAAAAAAAAAAAAAATCCTCCAATCAGAAAGTAATTCACCTTCGGGCGTGGACCGTGATTGGCTCTTGAGACGGAGGGAGGGCCTGAATCGGGTGCGGTCATTAAAACTCCAACTCTTCTGGACCTTGGCAGGACTCGATCCATCAGTGCTGATTTCAGCTCCAGGCGAGCGCCTGTCCGTAACAGACGTCTGCCTGCTTTTAATGCTCTGTCCACGTGGACTTGCCATTCTTACCCGGTCTTTAAAACTCAGTTTCTGACTAAGAGGGAGAAAAAGACAGAGAATGAGAGAGGGTGAAAAAAAGTAGAGCACTTTCCATCCTGCCATGAGCCATAGTAAAGACCATTTTTATTAGTTCTGCATTGCTTGCTTAGACCACCCTAATATTAGAAGTGCAGTCAAACAAGCACTCTAAACAATCATTATGAAAAGGCCCTTCGGCTATGATATGCCAAGAATAAATGTAAGATGAAAGGCCTTAGAGCAATGGACAAGGACAGAGGAATAAAAGTCCTTTAAGTAAAAATCTATCTATCTATCTATCTATCTATCTATCTATCTATCTATCTATCTATCTATCTATCTATCTATCTATCTATCTATCTATCTATCTATCTATCTATCTATCTATCTATCTATCTATCTATCTATCTATCTATCTATCTATCTATCTATCTATCTATCTATCTATCTATCTATCTATCTATCTATCTATCTATCTATCCATCCATCCATCCATCCATCCATCCATCCATCCATCCATCCATCCATCCATCCATCCATCCATCAATCCATCTAAAAAAATGCAATTGTGTCAATACATTCATGCAGTAGATTATGTACATTTGCCTGTCATGTTGCTCAAAATATATTTTATAGTTCTCTGTGCAAGAGTCTTACCCCTCAAATCATCTAGTCATTACTTCTATATGACTGGTCATTAGTCTTAAATGACTAAGTTAGGGGTCACCAACCCTACTCCCGGAGAGCTACCTTTCTGCAGATTTCAGTTGTAACCCTGACAAAACACACCTGTCTGTAATTATCAAGTGCTGCTTCAGGTGCTAATTAATTGGTTGGGTTTGGTTTGATCAGGGTTGGAGATAAATTCTGTAGGAAGGTAGCTTTGCAGAAACATGGTTGATGATCCCTGGACAAAGTCATTAAATGCAAAATGGTTGATGTAGTCATAAACATTCAAACATATTTTCAACACAACTTTATTAGATGTTTTGTAATTTTACAATATTTTTTTTCAAAGTGAAAGTGCATGTTGACTTTTCAATTACTGTATAAACCATATCTTTGAAATAGCTCAAAGGGGGTTCTCATGAACCTTTAATTCAATGGTCTTGAATTCAATTCCTGGGGGGTCGCAGCTCTGCATAGTTTAGCTCCAACCACCTCCAACTGACACCTGCCTAATAGTTCCTAGTAGTTTGAACACCTTAATTAGTTGGACAAACTTTGTTTGTTTAGGGTTGGAGCAAAACTATGTAAAGCTGTGGCCCTCCAGGAATCCAGTTTGAGACCTATACTTTAATAGGGTATATGTCGAGCTGGTGTTTTTCCCATACTGATAAACTTCCCATAACCTGTTATTGTGAGTTTTTTTCCATTTTATACGGTTCCTTTTACAGCATCGATGTTGTACTATATTTCAAATACAATCAGTTAAACAGACTTTGGCATGCATTTAATTGCTCAAGCGTAAAATGAGACAAAAAGCTGTTTGCTCGCACACACCCGTCAGGATCGACAGGCTATAGCGCAGAAGCTCCATTGAAAATACTGGGGTAAAATAAATGCTCATATTATAAAGACATGGGGGGAGGGGGGGTGCTGATTTTGCATTGGCATACAGTTCGCCAGAAACGATTAACCTAGGTTACTGGCAAATTAAAAGTCCTATTAGCATGGTTCGGCATATACCCTCTTGGAAGCAAACATAAACAGAGGACAAAGAGCAGTGTTGGGGATAACGGATTACAAGTAATTTGAATTACGCAATAATATTACCTTTCTAAGTAACGAGTAAAGTAACACATTACTTTAAAAAATTAGGTAATATTTGAGTTACTTTTAAAAATGCAATGTGAGTTGCTTAGTTAATAATTTTTAAAAAATTGCTAAATTAAAATGATCGTTGGCACGTTGAATCACACATGCAATGAGAGAATGCAGGAACAGGCAGAAAGTAAGATGGCAGAGCGTTACATTTCTGCACTAGAAATATTTTTTTGAACACGTAAAAAAAAGGAAAAGAGGATTATCTGAATGGACAGTGATTTTACTTTTTAATAAGACACAAGTTAAAAAAGTAGCAAATGCATTTCTATAAGCTTTCATTAATCAGTATGTACGACAAGATAGCTCTGGGGTCAGGAAGTTTTCCAAAGATAACATTATCCTACAATTACTTTTTATGTGTTTTTAAAGGTAAATGAAAGATTTACAGTGTTTCTATTTAAAAAAAAAAAAGTTCTAAAGTTTTGAAAGTGATCAAGCCTCAGCCAGGTCAGAAAAAGTAACGCAAAAGTAACTTAAATGTATCATAACTCATTACTTACCATAAAACGTAACTAAGTAATGCAGCTAGTTACTTTTTTGGGAGTAAGTCAAGTAAAGTAACTTTCCCCAACTCTGACGAAGAGGTACAAAGGCTGACAATGGATTAGTGTGGGTACAAAAGAGCAAACCAAAGGTAAAAACACACATAAAACTGTTAATAGACAAACACAGGAAACACATGAGAAATTCCACACATGCCAATCGAGCCACTGACTCTCACCTACATCTACATTCTCTTCAATACTGTAATAAAAGAAAAGATTCACCTGCACAGTGCATGGTAAATACACATGAATTGAAAAATCTCTTGAAAAGATGCTTGATGCTTTATGACCACAAAATCAACCCTGTTGCATTAATTTGCTTATATGATAAAATAACCAATAGATGTTTTGAGTGGTTAGACAATGGAACAGAGCATACATTTTGAGCAATGTAATGATAATGTAGGAAACCATTGAAAAAAATAATACAAGGTCAGCTACATGAATGCACAAAAGCAACTTATTCATAATAACAAGAAACTGCTTTTATGATGTGCAGAATGACTAGATGTTGTGGACATTCAACAAGAAGTTTTGAAAATTTCATTTTTGATCGGAGAAATATAGAGACGTCGAAGTAGGTTTTTTTGTAAGACCACTAGCTTATAAAAGTGAAGATGTGAATGATATATCTTTCAATCAAAATCCCATAATAAGTAATGTGTACCTTTTAAATAGATTTATGACATGCATAATAGTGCAGGCCTTCACATTTCAATACAGTAAACTTTCATCCAAGCTGTTGCCATAGTTTACCTGAGTTCACTGTTGTATTGAAAAAAAAATGACTAAGCATTTTGACTTTTGATCTTTTTTTGTGAGCAATGACTCAGTGACTTTTTATTTTGATGGAAATAATTTGATCATAGACATAAATTCTTGTTTTTTAAAGAATAAAATAGTTTTTTTGAGTAAGTTAATATTAATGCAAATATTAATGATGATTTGAGAAATGCAGCAAAGAGACTGAGAAAAGCTCACATATAAATGCAGAGATATTCAAGAGCGACAAGTCAATCTTACAAGTCCAAGTCTATGTCAAATCCTACATGAGGCCAGATGCATAAAGCACAGTCCACACAGGTCACTTTCTAACCAAGCAGCCTTCTGTAAGTCAACAGTGTGATTAACTTGTAACCAAGCGGCAGCCTCCCAATCTCCCTTGTGAAGCCAACATGTAAGTGACTAAAGCTGCAATAAAAGAGTCCGGATGCAAAAATCTGTAAGTGCCAAATGACATTTTCTTATAAAATGAGATTTCTTTTTCTCAGGCTTCTCTGTGTAGGTTCAGTAATTTCACTTTATGGCAAATATGGGGGTCCCCGCCCATTTTCGATAACCGGGAGTAATGCGCAGACGATGTGATGATGCGCTGACAAGATGGTGACAGCTTACCCTGTCCAGTTGTAGCTTAATTTGTGTTTTTTGGAAACCTAAAGGTTACGTCACAGGTTTTTATACAGTCTGCCTGAAACCCATGTGACAAACTACTGCAGATGAGAAGATTTTTCACCCTCTCTTATTGTGCGTACTTTGACTGAAAGGCCACACTGAGATAATATTTCATATGACTTCCATTGTTAAGCTCTTCTCTACATCCCACAAAAAAGACTGTGTATATTTTTTAGCAGAACACTTGTGAAAAATCATTATATGTATCCAGTTATTCAGTCCTCTCTATTTCACAAAGAACAATAGGACAGACAGCTGAACATGAGTCAGAGAAAAGAGCAGCGGCCACTCAAAAATGCAGCACTGCAGTGAGTCATCCACTTCTGCTCAATAATGTCACATTAGCAACTATGCTAATTATGGTATCATTGCCTCTTGGTCATTGATGAGTAGTGCAACATAAATGAGCGGATGGATGGTGGTTTCACGCAAAACAACTGGTTAGAACCAACCGAAGCATCATATCTGAACACCTTTTTGAAACATGTGATTCACTTTCAAAAATTCACAATAATGTGAAAATGATTTAGTTTGTCATTGTTCATTGGGCCACGTCATTATGGTTTAATATAAATGCTTAATTGATTCAATAATTATGCAAATGACACGACTAGTTCTCTCTGGTATTTGGGCTGATGACACTGCATTAGTAGCTCGTGTGTAATGCAGTCATTCAAACAGTCCGATTTGACTTTCTCATCTCCATTATTTCCTCTCTCTAATTGAAGCCACTGCCCCAATAATCACATTTGTCTGGCAAGTGACAAAACATGAAAACATGAATACATCTCCATTATTTGTAATTTCGTATTCCATCTGCCCAATGTGTATATGTGTAATGAAACACGCGAGTGCACTTAGCAGATGACAGTAAACAGACATCAGAGGAAGCAACTGGTCAAACGTGGAACCCTATTTTGTCCTCAGAAAAGAAAATATAATAAATAAATCAATTAGGGAAACTCTGATTTGTGAAGTTGTTGGTTGAATATGAAAATAAAATTATAAAATGAGTCACAAGTGTATGAAAAAGATAGCAAATTCCCTGCTGTAATATTTAATTGAAATATTAATAAACAAATCCATAATTAAAAGACACCTACAGTATATGAAGTCAACATCTGAAACTCCATTGTACAACAAAGTAAGAATATTTAACTGTCATCATCCCACCACCACTGACTAATCATTACCAACTATATATTTTTGTAACAGTCTTCTAAATGCATATTTTACCACAATTTCTGTTACGTTATGTTACATTAAGCTGGAAGAGTAATAAATTGAAACACTTTTAATGTTACCCTACAACCTGTGGTAGAGATCTGCGCGGGACTAAATTTTTAAATCCGCTCCCGCCAGGTTTTAGTCCGAACCTGACCGTTCCCGCTTATATTCAGCATTTGTTGTCCCGCTGCCCGTCTCGCCCCGTTTTCTACCCGCCGTGACCGTTTCCGCTAACGATACCAAACAAAAAACAACCCCCGCTAAAATAAACCAAAAACCACCTAGCTACAAGATACAGACAGAGTCCAGACAGCCTATAACAAGCTGTCTGTATAAACACACACACATACACACACACACGCACACACACACACGCACACACACACACATACACACATACACACACATACACACACACACACACACACACACACACACACACACACACACTGCACCAAGCGACACACAACATCACGATCACTCTCATTCAAACACATACATACACGTGCTCGCTTGTTCGGGAGTCGTGAGGGATATTGCTAGACTGCACGCTCCCGTTCAAATTACACCAGTTACCGACCGATCCCGCGCTTTATTCAGAAATTTATGCAGACTTCTAACATGTGGGACCTTTTACAGTTACATTTTTAAACCGTAACATTGTAGTCTAAACGCAATGATGACTAACTGTACATAACTTGATAGCTTAAAATTTTGATTTTCCATATATGGTGAGGGATTTTTAAATAGCTTTTAGTGAGCAAAAGTCATTGATTAATTTGCAACAAGTATATTTATCAGAGACATAAAGCATTACTTTGCTACAGCAATCCACATGTAAAATTTTGTTGAGATGTTTTTAGATTTTTTAGAGGCTAAGTTCAAATAAATATCACCAGACTGTCCATACTACTTTAGAATTGTATGTTTCTTCACAAATATTGTCAGAAGCATGAAACAAAATACAGTTAATATTCTTCAAAACATAGGGGGTGACCTTATAAGGTCATCAATGTTAACTAAATGTCATCTGGTGATTATGTTTGATACTGCGGTCAAACTAAATCTTACTGAAATTGTAATTTATTGAGATATCAACTTTAAAATTGGAATATATTTTGTTCACATATTTAGCTTTGATTTTAGGATAGAACACGCTTCGCAAAATACAAATTTTATGTGTTATATTAATGTATACACTTTTCTTTTAATAACAATAAAGGCATAGTTTAGCTCAAATTTATAGCATTGAAGATTGAGCTTCATTTAAGTTGAACATGTTATTTTCATGTCTGTGTTCAAAAAGTTGGGGCGACAGTTAAGGTGATAAAGAGAAACTGAAATCATAATTAGATAGTCACAATACAATGCATGAATCCACAAATCTCTAACAGACTTCCAAAATTAGATTTATTTGCTTAGACTAACAAAAGCTAAAGCATCGCTCAAATGTAAATTATTTACATTATATGGCATGGAATAATACAAACCTTGTTGCTGACTCTCCCTGATCCTTCCTTTTGGTGTCAGAAGGTGATATAGAAAGAAAAGAAAAACACATACAAGTGAGATGTTTGGCATGTATCTAAAGTAGTCTTCAAATTCATTTAATACAATTTACCATGACATATATCATGCATACTAATGCACCAAAAGCAACAGCCAGTTCAAAACATTAGCATTCACATTCATACCAAAACATGCATTGCATTGCAAGAAATTCAAAAGCTCAGGCAAATTAATGTATCATATACATTCGGAGTCCTGCTAAATATCTTGTTTATTCTAAAAAGGTCTATTTTAACAGTCATTATGGCTTAAAAGGATACATGTGAATGGTAAACTTTGGTAAGTGGTAAGGCTTTTTCTTAATCATCTTGACAATTTGACATTTTCTGCAAATAATATTTACCAAGCTAGAACTCTACAGCATATTCACTTTGTCCATGATAGAGGCATTATGAAACAGAGTGAAGGTAGAAATGTAAAATTGAGCGAAGCATTACTGTCCATTTGCTTTTTTTCCCCTTTCACTTTGGGAGAAAGACTGTAATCAGATGATTTCACAGACAGCTAGACCTACATTAGACCTGCTTTTGTCTGTAACATTATGATTCATGTGGATGTCTATAAGTCTCTAATACATAATGGACAAATATAGTTTGTTGAATGCTGAAGTGAAGAAAATATGAAACATGAAAAGAAGAATGGGACATATTTGTAGGAGACACAATAAAGTAACACAAACAAACAGAGGGAAATTTCTCTTTGTGAACAAAATGGAGGAACGAAGGATTGAGAAAGGATAAGTTTTAAAAAGCCACTGCCAGGGGTTTGTACCTACTTTGTAGGACTGCAGGTATGCAACGCCTTCAAATGAGGTTTCCAGGTAGCAACGGAAACCGAGTTCTCATCAGCCGCATAGCTACGCCACACACACTACATGCAAAAATATATAAAACCAAAAGAACGAGGGATAAAAGTAGAAGAGGAAAAGACAGAAGAAGAACAAGCCCAAAGAAGATAAAGAGAAGAAAAAAAGAAAAACAAAAAGGAAAAAAAAGCAGATTAGTAAAAAAAAACTACACAGGTTTTTCGGTCAGAGCAGGCACCAATACATGCCTCCGGATAGGAATTGTAGATTCATAATGATGCCAAGTGGCCTGAAGGTAAGGACGACTACCATCTGTGGAGTAATATCGCCACGCAGCCTTATTCAGGATTAAGGAGAATAAAACATTGTGAGCAGAAAAACATTTCATAGAAGAATCCTCAATATATTTTGCAACACATTCAGGAATTTTTTTTATAACTCTTTGTTGCAAGCAAAGCCTTGGCTTTGCTTGTATCCTTGCTTTGCTTTTTTTCTGTTTTGTTTTTGTTTAATACTATTCCTCTTCTGTTTCGTTTTAGTTCATCCCCCACCCCCAATCTCTGTCTTGAAGTTGTTTTTCTTTTGTGTTTTTTTTCTATTTTATTTAAGTTTAGTTTGAGATTCTACATTTACAGAAGTCTTTGTTTCTTCTTTTTGATGAATCTATTTCCCTAATCAGTCAATGTTATTTGTGACTTTGGGATTTGTATGCATTTCTTAATGCTTAATATTTTATTTTTAAGATCTAGTTATAGTTTTCTTGCACTATTTTTTCTTTGGTCACATTGTTACCACTGCCTGTTTGCTGTCCTGTCTTGTTTCGAATGTTTCTCTTAAGCTGGTTCCAGTACTGCCCTTCATCCTGTTTTCCCTGGTCAGTGATTTTTCAGGCCTGCCTGTCTGGTGTTAATGCTTCTGGTTCTATCCAGCACTGCCCTTAGATTCCAGTGCTGTCTTGTCCCTGCCTGACTGGCTTCCCTGCATAATACTGCCCCTACTGTTTACCTTTGTCTATCTATCAGTGTCTTGCCCTGTCAGTAAACATAGTTTTCTGTTCAGTGCTGCAACTGGAGTACTTAATTATGAGCTTTATCAAAATTGTGCATGACAAAAGGAGTGTGCAAAATTTAACATATATATTTTCATAAACAAAGTCTTTTCAAAACATGTCTTAGGGTGCTTTCACACCTGTGAATCGATTCAGTTGTTCCGAAACAGAGATTAAAAATGTTACATTGTTGCTATTTGTTCTTAGTGCGGTTCGCTTTCACACTGCAAAGTTTCTAAACAGGCCAAAAGAGCTAAAACAAGTCATGTGTGATTAAACTCTCCTCACATTTGTCAGAGTTTCACGGTTTATTTTGCAGAGTCCTGCTCAGCTGTCAAGGGAGGTAGTGTTTGAAAAGGTGCGCGCGACGTGTCTGACGAGCGAAGAGGGATGCGGTGGGAAGGGTTGAGAAGCATGCGCAACGTATTTGAGGACCGGGAGGGAGACGCGTGATTATCGGGAGATTATCACTCGTTTGCAGGCATCCGGAAGTCTCTGTGCATTTGCGGGAGACTCGGGATGTCTGTTGAATGACCTTCCGCCCTAATCATAACTCTCTTCATATAGCTGTATGCCTATTACATATCCATAAAACACAGTGATATAATCGGGCCCGGATCGTATCGCTTTCTCACTACAATTGATCCGCTCCAGAGTTTGTTTCAATCGAGCCGAGATCGCCTGAATGAGGTGGTCTCGGCTCAATTAAAACGAACTTCGGAGCGGATTGATTGTTTTGGCGCGGATCCGTGAGTGATTAGTGGATTCACGTATGCCAAACGAACCACTCTAACTGGGCAAACAAAAAGAAAACAAAAACGAAACAAAAGTCTAGATGTGAAAGCACCCTTAGAACAGGGGTTTCCAAACTTTTCAGCATGCGACCCCTAAAATAACAATACCAGTGACTCGCGACCCCCAATATCCCCTGAGGTGATTATAAATACAGAAAACTTGCATGCAATGGCGCACACACACACTAATAGACCAAAGTCTATTCTTCGTTTAATTTTTTAAATGTATTTCAGTGCTGTAAATGGGCCAAAAAGTTTAACCTGGTGTTATAAAATCAATCTGTTGCATCTGACGCTATTGCTGTGTCTTTAATATAATGTATTTACCCCATGGGTCGCAATCCAATAGAACAAGTAAATAAGCTACTATAGTAACTATAAACGACTGTTTTTTTCTCTTCAGTTGGTTATGGATAAAATATGGTAATTCTTATGGTCTAATAATAATAAGTAGATTTTTGGAAATCACCAGGCGACCCCCCTTCATTGTTCCGCGACCCCTCAAGGGGTCCCAACCCCCACTTTGAGAACCACTGCCTTAGAAGACCAAATGCGTTCAATGCATGATGAAGCCTAGAATGCCATTAGAAGAATATTACTAATTATAGAGTAACAACATAGAGTATAAACTAAAAAATCCGCCATATGAATTTTGCTTTCTTATATTTATATGATATGACATTGAGTACGTTTACATGGACACCAATAATCCGACTGTAATACGATTGAAGACAATAATCTGATTAAAAGTCTACCATGTAAAGAGTATGCCAATTTTAGTTGCATTACTGAAGTGCAGTACAGACATGTAAACACCACAATCAAGCTATTACCATCATGTAGGACTTTTACCTCATTTCGTGACAGGATAGTCTATACACACATGGCTGTTTGACACTATCCTCTGAACCTCCCGAGTCAGTAAAGGACCACAGACCCCTGAATTGTGAAAAAAAAAATCCCCATATGGCATGCGGTCTCAAATTCTATCAAAACAATACTCTTCCCTGCATCCAATATCTCATTTGTTACAGGTGGCATGCATGAAACTTTCCGGAATGAAAGTGAAAGTGCCAAACTGCAGTTTGTCGACAAATTAAAAATGAAACAACTGAAATTACATGAAACTCTGGAGGAAATGTGGATAGTTCAGTGATGCAAAGACATTAATTGATATATGTGCTTAACATGTAAAATGGGATCATGAAAGGAACATTCAAAAAGCAACTTTAGTAAATTTCTTAATCATATTGTCTTATTTAGATTAAGGCAAATAATTTGATTATTGATGTCCATGTAAACATAGTCAAGTGAAAAACACAAGAAAGATATCAGTGATTTTGTACATTTTAGACACAGCAGTGTTAAATTCATCAATGAAAATAAGCGATACAATATTTGTTGCCTATGCCTTGAAACAAACAAACTTAACAGGTCTGCTGGGCCAGTAATGTGACTAAAAACTAAGACTGTGTGTGCTCTCATCTAATGAATGAACAGTGAAACTATATCTAGTCAAAAAGATAAAAAATAGCCAACATTATTTTATTTATAATCAGCGGCACTATGCTGCTTATGGGTGATTGAATCAGAGCGCGCACACTCAGTAACAATACTGCTGCAGCAGGCCTGCCAAGTTTGTTTCAAGTCATTTCTGCTGACGAAATTAACACAAAGACATAATATGTTTTTCCCAAAAATCTTTTAGTGTGGCAGTGATATGTTTTTATAAAAATCCTGAATCAGCCACGTTTCAACATAAACCACACCAAAATATTGTTTAATTATTGTGATAAAAAAAAAAGTTTCATCAAATCTTAATGGCACCCTATGACAGCTTCACACTGTGGGATTGTTTACAGTAAGAAATGTGTTCATGGATCAAAAATGAGTGTGCTGTTTCGCTTTAAGGGTTCCTGTGTGGCATAAATTATCATTCACACCTCCTCAGTTTTTGTAGTTTATCACTAATTTACAAAGCTTCTTGATAACCAATCAAACAGCTTAGATAAATACTTCAATCTATACAATACATAATCATAAAACCAGTTGTTGCTGTTCTTTGTTATTTGTCTCTCTTCTTTCTTACAAGAACTAACTAGTCCTAAAGAATATTATCATGACCCTTTAAAACCAGTGAAACACTGGATGTCTAAGCAAACAAAGTCTTTTTGCAGTAAAGTGAATCATATTTGGAGCAAGTTTTTAGCTAGGACTATCTGCTGTCTCAGATAGTCATAAAAGATTCATCAGGCAACACAGACAAACATTGTGGTGCATTCAGACATGAATAACAGTTACATAAAAAGACACAGGACCAAACAGTACTCTAAAAAGGGACATGAGTCTTTATGACACTATAAACCAAGTTTTATTGTACCAGATTGTGTAATATCACTCAATATGAAGGCAGATTAATAGCTCTTGTGTCTGACCTGTATGAGGCAGGCAGCAGGGTTCCTTCTCTTCTCGAAGTGCTTCTGTCTGTGCTGCTCTTGAACCTTCAAGGCAAAACCTGAACCCAAAATACCCTGCAAGTGAAAAAGAACCATATCATGAAAAATGGACAACACTGCACTTGGTTTTGAATGTATATTTACTGTCTGAATTTTAAAAATATATATACTTGTTTCACTTGGTATTGGTACTCTCTGTTTACTCATTCGTTTTGTAGTGTTGTATGAACACTACATTTGTATTCTCTAAACACACTCTCTGTTGGTGGCACTGCGAGCAACGTGCCTCACAAATAGATCATTTTTCGGCTTTATGAAAAAAAATAATATGCTAATAATAAGATTTGATTGTGCAGAGCAGCCTGGAAACCAAGAAAAACATTGGAAACAATTTCAATTATGCAAATGATTTGTAATTGATTTATTTATTTTTTCATTTTTATTATCAGTGTTGTATCTGGAGGAGTGACAATAAACACAAGCACTGAATTAATACTGTAATTAGTGTAGAGACACTAGGCACAATGTCAGAATGCTTTTTGGTGTGTGTGTGTGTGTAAGGTTTACCGCAGGCAGTGTGAAAAAGGAGATGCCGAGCAAAGCGAAGCCAGCAGACAGCATTCGTCCGGTCCAGGTTTTAGGAGTCTTATCCCCATATCCAATAGTGGTTAGAGTGATCTATTTAAAAAAAAATAAAAATAAAAAATAAGTAACCATATCCTCACAATATACTTGTAACTACATTACAGTTAAAATAAATAGATACACAGACAAGTTGATAACTTTGTTAAATGTATTATTATTATAAGAGGGAATGACTAAATTTCATAGGAGGACTTACATTAAAAAATGTTTATGAACAAAAACTAAAATGTATTTACATTTGTAAAGCTTATATGAATTGTGAGTATTTTTAGGAATTTAAGGATATATTTACAATCAGGCTTTTATGGAATGGAATGATAAATGATAAACAACAAATGTTTAATTTACAGTAAACTGAATCCATTATTAATGTAAACCAAAGACTATAGAATACACAAGACATGCCACTCGTATAGTTTTAAAAGGGGAAAAATGTAACGGTTAATATGGCGAATAAAGCCCCACCAACTAGTACAGGAGCCAAACATTGATCGCTATAGATCAGGGGTCACCAATCTCGTTCCTGGAGGTCCGGTGCCCTGCAGGGTTTAGCTCCAACTTGCCTCAACACACTTGCCTGTGAGTTTTAAGTATATCTAGTAAGACCTTGATTAGCTTGTTGAGGTGTGACTGATTAGGGTTGGAGTTAAAATCCGGACACCGGACCTGAAGGAACAAGTTTGGTGATCCCTGCTATAGACTGATGGAGAAACTTGTAACCAATTTGGCTTTGTGGTCAACAAACACACCGCAATCTCAGCTAATACTTGCTTCACAGACATATGAAACATAACCACATAAAGCTTGGAATCAGTTTTAACTTTTAAATGAACCAGGTGCACTTGAAAACAAAAGTTTATTGGTTTTGTAATCTGTATGAAACAAAAGTGAGGGACAGTCAAACGCACATCACATAACAGGAACTACTGAAACACTCACAAAGTTGAAAACAAAGAGTCACTGTCATTTCTGAACCAGATTAAACATAAAGACCAAGTTGTGGATTACTTCAGAAGACCAGTGCAATCAGATAATCATTATTCAGAGGATGATAATGTGTAGAACGCCCATAAATGAGGTTGGTGTCTGTATCTTTTTCCTAGTGTGCATGCGCATTAACTTGGGCAACCTAAAGAATTGCTCATTTAAAAACTAAACTTATGAGACAGCTGTTGTTTAATTGTATTGGTGGTTCCAAATATGTAATGTAATCGTAAGCCTGGCAAACAATTTTGGAGAATTTGATGTTTCCCCATTCAGACAGAATGCCCAAGCATACTGCCCGAGAGGCGTTTTAAAGATCACCGCCAAGGGTAATGACTTGCTTTAAAAGGACTTTGTGTAAACCCATGCAGAATGCTTGTGTGAAAGTGAACATCTGATTCTGTTACTAATTTCTGCTTAATTTATTTTCAGTATTTTTAAACAGTAAAAATATTTCAATATTTATAACCCAGCTAACAATAACAGAGTTGACATTTTCCACCATTTTGCGCTTTAGCTCTAGATGCTAGATACACGATAGAAACTACAGGGCATACAGAGTTGACAAATTATTAATCTCTATTAGTGTATCCTAAGCATTTGTACAAACGAATGAGAAAAGAATAAAGACATGCCTTAATGCCTTCTCATCAGTGGAGGTGACATTACTTGCAGCAATTCATATGCTTTTTCTATCAGTGCTTTAAATATATAGAAGTTTTAACACAAATTGTATTTTTTACAACTGAAATGACAAATAATAAAAAATAGATGTGTCATGAAAGGGCATCACGGTGGCACGGTGGGTAGCTCAATTGACTCACAGCAAGAAGGTTGCTGGTTAGAGACTCGGCTGGGTCAGTGCGGAGTTTGCATGTTCTCCCCATGTTCGTGTGGGTTGAATTGAGTAAGCTAAATTGTTGTTAGTGTATGTATGTTAATGAGTGTGTATGGGTGTTTCCCAGTAATGGGTTGCAGCTGTAAGGGCATACGCTGCATAACAACACATATGCTGGATAAGTTGGCAGTTCCGCTTTGGCTACCCAGGATTACTAAAGAGACTAAGCAGAAAAATAAAATGAATGAATGAGAATGATTGAATGAATGTATGAATAAATGAATGAATGAATGGGGCGATGCAGTGGTGAAGTAGGTAGTGCTGCCACCTCACAGCAAGAAGGTCGCTGGTTTGAGCCTCGGCTGGGTCAGTTGGCGTTTCTGTGTGGAGTTTGCATGTTCTCCTTGTGTTCGCGTGGGTTTCCTCCGGGTGCTCCGGTTTCCCCCACAGTCCAAAGACATGTGGTAAAGGTGAATTGGGTAGGCTAAATTGTCCGTAGAGTGTGAATGAGTGTGTGTGGATGTTTCCTAGAGATGGGTTGCGGCCAGAAGGGTATCCGCTGCATAAAAACGTGCTGGATGAGTTGGCGGTTCCTACCGCTGTGGCGACCCCAGATTAATAAAGGGACTAAGCCGAAAATAAAATGAATGAATCAATGAAAGAATGAATAAATAAATGAATGAATAAATGAATGAATGAATAAATGTGTCATGAAAGTGTTTATTTACTCTAGGCCTAGTGTAAACACTTTTGGACTTAAATTTGACTTAAATTTTATTGTTTCATGACACTGAAGCTAAATGCATGATTTAAGAGGCAGAGACTGTCAAAAATAGGTACAGAGGAAGTCTTTAAGGCAAAATGTCCCTGAACACAGACACAAATATATTTTTAGGAATAACTTAATATACTTTTTATCTGTTTATTATTCAAAACTGTTTCAGTGATTGATTTGCTGTAAAGTTTAGAAGATTTATCTATTGGAGATGAAAAATGTTCTTAAAATTCTATAATCACCCTTGTACAGTATATGTACAGTATATGTAGTCACTTTTTTATGTCACAATACCACAAACAAGGCTATTCCAAATCATTAATATGGCATAAACCAGAAATAGTAAATTACTATTTAAAATACATTGGCCCAGAAATCATCTTCATCCTTCATACAAGAGAAAAGGTGTTAAATAAAGTTGTCATCCTTTTAGTTTATGTTTTTTTGGGTGAAGCAGTTTGGCATCTGCCTAATGTTTCTGCAATGCAAATCCGAGTTATGCATACATAGTTTGACTGAATTTGATTTAATATAAAAGAGAGAAATGTATGCATGATTACACTGCCAAACATTTTTTGGTATAAATTTACAAATTTATTGGTATAAAATAATTCTGGGTAAATTTAACAATGCTGTACTACACAATTCTATATACTGTATATTTATTTGCATATATATCTGTAGTCTCTTAATTTATGCCTGAGAATTCCCTTTGTCTTTTTTCCTTTGGGTTGAAAAATCCTGCCTGAACTATATTCTCTGAACAGTCAAAGGCTGTCGAGCGAGACCAGAAATGGCGTCATTTTCTCAATTTGTGTCATCGTGATTACTTTCTTTCTTCATGGAAATGGAATCTAATGGTGCCACGTAATAATCTATATGGAAAAGGTTTCAATTTCCCAAACAAGGTAGAAGGCGATGATCAAAACGCTAAAAAAGGGAGAGAGTCTTAAATTATAAGTGAAATTTGATATCAAGGTTCATATTAAACTAAAATTAGAGTGCTTTGCAATTTTCAAGTATTGTTGGACTTTAGCAAGAGCGGGAAAAATGGCCCAGAATAATAACTGTACAAGAGGCACAGAGGTGCTAGAACATGAATCTGGCACCACATTAAATATGAATGAGTTGTTTTGTAAAGCTCAGTATAGACCAGACTATTACCTGGACTCTGATAGAATGTACCATTATGTAGAAATGTGCAATGTGAAGACTCACCGTGCCCCACCATAATGCATCAGCATAGGTGGCAAAGTCTTTATTGAATTCCTTTTCCACCAGATAAACCAGGAAAGAGGAAAAGATGAGCACAAGGAACCCAATATACCAGGCAGTGACCAGTTCCTATCAGACAGAGAAGCAGATATTGAGGACGTTTAGAGAAGATCGGCAGACGAGGAAGATATTTACAAAAGAACAGAAAGTACTTTCAGACATGGCTGTTTGACACAGACTATCACTGCAAAAACAAATTGAGCTTTTAGAATTGGTCTACTCATTTTACAGACAACCTTTTAAATAATTTTAGATGACAATTTGTCAAAAATCAAGTTACCTTGCTGTGTGCATAAACTACAGATCCCAGAAGCTTCCAAGTTCCTCCGCGGCGGTCCATGCGTACCATTCGCAGGATTTGTAGAAATCTTAAGCTTCGCAGAGCAGACGTTGCAAAAATGTTGCTTTGACTCCCCGCCGAAACCACAGCAACTGAGGCAATCAGCACTATTATGTCTAATGATTGGAAAAACAAACAGAAAAAAATACATTTTACATGAGTCATAAGTGTCCTAACATGATTACAGATGTAAAATTCAAAATTATATATTTTTGCTACATAGACAATTTGATGCTGACAGGTCACATGTTTGCTTTTTTCACAAGGAATGTTGTTGCAAAATAAATCTCACCCTTCAGATTATCAAGATAATGCTAACATTTAAAAAAAAAAACTGAGACTGTTACAGAATAATATATTCAACCTCTACAATATCTACATTTTTTTCCTGTTCAGTCTGAAAGTTGCAACTGAGTTCCTAGGTGACCTGTTCTTATAATAATTACGCTGTAAATCCCATTGAACAAAGCATCCATTAATTAATGGACCTCAACCTTTGTGACTTGAAGGCCACCTATTATATTTCCTCCAGCATTTCTGCTGTAATTATGTCAAAGCTGCTTTTTCCCCTTACATATTATTATATTTTTGAAAAACGGTGAACACTGATGTATTAAAGTAATGGACTGTGATTCTGGAAATTCGTGATAAAATGATATAAATAAGATTTCAGTTCAAATATCTATATCTATATCTATCTATCTATCTATCTATATATATATATATATATATATATATATATATATATATATATATATATATATATATATATATATATAGATACATACATTAAATACACATATTCCATTATCCTGAAAAGTTTTATATACTTTTTTAAATATACAGTACATAATAAAATAATACTTTTGAAGCCAAAACGTTACCCCATTTGTCAAGAACAACTGCTGTAAATCAATAAAAAGTATTTTGTTTAGATTTATCATTAACCTGAAAAATGTCACTGCACTAAACGGGTCCTGACACTAGTCTTGTCGTTGGTCACAATTTAAAGAGCAACAGATATTAACTTGACTTCTAGTTTTATCAACATCAACAAGTATCAAGACATTTGTGCTGCCTATTACATTACAAACCACAGGAGTGGGCAAATTCTTCAGCAGGATAGTGCTCCTTCTCATACGTCATATCAAAGTTCCTGACGGTTAAGGTGCTTCAGGATTGGCCAGCCTAGTGACCAGAAGTAAACATTGAGCATGTCTGGGATAAGATGAAGAAGGAGGCATTGACGATGAATCCAAAGGATCTTGACGAACTCTGGGAGTCCTGCAAGAACACTTTCTTTGCCAATCCAGATGACTTTATTTATGTTATTTGAGACATTGCAGTAAAGTATGGATGCAGTCCTCCAAGCTCATGGGAGTCATATGCAATATTAATTCTTTTTCCATTGCACTGTGACTTATTCTATACTGTACATTATTTCTGTAAAGTAAGAAGACTTTTGTCTAAGCAAAGTCAGACCTTACTGTCGTAATTAAATAATTTAAAATCAAGACATCATGTTTTGTTTTTGTAAAATAAGCATAATCTAGAGGCTATTGCCTTCATATAAGCCACTTCTGATACCAAGTGATTAACTAGAAGTCAAGTTATTATTTGTTCTTACTAAAACATAGACAGTGACAAGACTTTTGTCAGGAAGCGTAACTCCCTGTATCCTAGGTGTACAGTAAGGGTAAATGAATGTCATTTCTTTATCTCTGATGTCTCAAATGAGATTTCCCAGAGAAACACAGCCATTCTGTTATTATGAATCGATAAAAAAGATTGATTTCCAAACTGTTATCTTGCCCAAATTATCTGTGGGAAAAGAGGGAAAAAAACAAGAGTAGGACACGGGAAGTTCACACAGAAACCACATCCACTTGGAGAAGCGACATCAAACCCTTAAAGAACACAAACAACTCCAAGGCACTGCTCAACTGCAATAATATTTTCTTTCTCTTTCTGATCCCTCCTCTAATTTCTCATATTCTTTGTAGTTGATGAACTCAAAACTTTCCAGAAAAACTGGGCTTCGTGCTTCTCCTCTCTCCTCCTTTCTGCTGTCATTCTCAGTCAAATCAACGCGCTACATGTGTTCTTAAAGTCTTCAGGGAGTCTCGATCTGGGAGGGAAAATGCTTATTTAGGTGTAGAAGTGCTCTCTAGATGTATAAATTATGACACCGTTATCCAGCACAGCAGAAAGATGACTCATGAACTCAATGAAAAATCCATTAAGCCTTCACAGACCACCACCACACTCCAGAATCAGCCCTACTGGAACTAGATTCTGTTCCACTATCTTATAAACAAACTTTAAAAATGATGTAGTATTATGGAATTAGGGGTCCATAAGCCAACGCAACTTTTTCAGCAAGCACTATCTAACAGAGTCCTAAAAGTTTATATTGGATTTAAAATAGCTTTTGAGTGCAAGGTTTTTTAGTGAGGTCAGCTTTAGATATTGCACCGCCTGATGGAGAAACATAGTTATACTGTATGATACAGTATATGAAAATAAAATGACAGAATAAGTTGACAGTAATTTGACGAATTTTTGCCAGCAAACTAAATCGGAAACATATGCTTTCTGTTTCAGTTGTGCACTAATTTTGAGAACAGACAGGGGACACTCATTCGTGGTCTTTCTTTAAACCGCTAAAGGGTTTTCCTGTGTTACAACAATATAACATACATCATCATCTGAACACCATTCATTCCCTGACAGGGTTCATTCATCAGTTTAACACACAAATCCCATCGAATGGAGGCTAATGACTTTTTGAATCAATTAGGAAACATGCACATGCACGACTAAATAGGTTTATTTTGGAAACAGCTTTTCAAACCATTTGTTATAAAAAACACACACACTAAAATCAAAATAAATATCTTATAAATGCAGAACTTCTTAAAGCATGTAGCTGCAAATCATATACAGTTCGGTTCACATGCTTTAAAACCACCAGTCTGTTCAATAACCATTAAATTTGTATTTGCTTCAAGAAGTGTACTAATGTATGTATATCATGTTTTGCACTGTAAAAAAGATTTCTAGGGCTGCACAGTCAAACAGAGACACATCACATAAGGAATTCTATAATGCTTCTTGCACATTTCACAGCAGCTTTAAAGTCTGAATACAGCCATGGTATTGTGCAAGTAACCATGCGGAAGTGAGTTCATTAATTGATAATATCCTCGTAATCATAATTTAAGTGAAACTAAAAGTGCTTTAGGCTCTTGATCCACTAAAGTTTGTTTTCCCCAATGTAAGCCTTTTTTTTTGTTTTCAACATTAACAGAACAGCGAGGCACTGGGATTTTCTGTCTGTGAGATAATAGCCCCTTTCACACAGAGATACCGGTAAATATTCAGAAAAGTTCCGGAATGACCTTACTGGTAAACTCAAAAAAGCGCTGTTCATAAAGACAAGGACGTTTTTTATTTAAAGCTTTAGCATTCATGCAGTAGCTTTGTCCCAGAGGCGTCCAAAGGCAGAAGCGCAAACTGCAGCTAAATGGTTGCACATTTGACTACATTACAAATTCTGTGGATAGATAAGTATTGTAAATTCAATAAAAACATGTGTGTGTGCTGGCGCTCACCAGAGCACTCCTTCACTTCACGTGCACTCGCGTCAAGCAACTTGAAAGTAAACAAAAAGCAATGTATCATAAGTATTTTATCGATAATTGTTTCCACAGTTGGCATTAAGAAGGAACATATAAACATTATCTGACTAACATCTAGCAGCTCAATATGTCTGGAAAAATATTTAAAGGCTTTTATTGTCATGAACAGCACAGATGTAGAGTAAATGCAACTGAATGTTCTGATTGGCTGGAGTAGAGTTGAACATGTCATCGCATTTTAAATATAAACGCAAATTACTAGTAATGTCACAACTCCTCTTTCCAGAAAAATGCCGGAACGAATTCAGTAGTATTTTCAAAAAAATGATTGTTCACACATGATCCCTTTCCAGAAAATTGCTGGTAATTTTCCGGAAAGGTCTGTACTGTATGTGTGAAAGGGGCTATTGATGTTACATATGAGCCACTCACCCTATCAAAGTGGAGACAATAGGACTCACACAGCTCCTATACTGTAGCTGACAGAGGCATGTTTTTGCAACATACTGTAGGCTCATTCTGAAAACATAGCCCTATATACATTTCTGGAGATTGCAAATTATGTAGCCAGAGTTACGTATGGCTGCATTTCATCTTTAAAACAAATGCTATGATGCCTTTCCTCTTCTCACTAAGCAGCTGACCACTTACATACCACTTTTCCACTGTTACCAGTTTGTCCGGTAGCTCATTGGTCAGTCAGTCTGTGAGTTGTTCAATAGTGGCCTCTGGTGGATTTACGTGAGAAGAGCAGGTGCGTATGGCACTCGCGAGAGAAATTTGAGATCTTAAAAAGCATACACAGCAACCTTTGGTGGATTCGTAAAAAACAAAAACTGCAAAAAAAAATAATAAAATGTATCTCCTGGGACGCATTTTGCTTTATCCAGAAACGTACATAGGGGTACATAATCAGAATGAGCCTAAGTTTTCTCACCTCTCACCATTCATTCATCATATTAAATATAGTAAGTATTCACTATAATATATTTAAATTAATTATTCCCAGCTGTCAAGGAAGACTGTCTCTTGCATTATACAGAACTGCACTGTATAAAGTGCTCATTTTAGCACTTATGAGGTTTATTTATGTTTATGGGGGGACAGAAACAGTATTCAAGTGCAGCAATTCAATTGGTGTAAAATTACACAAATCAAAGTTTAAACACTACTTTTAATCTTTGATAAACCTAAAAAAGTTATATTTTTAGTGTTTGAATGTTTCAAGCTCTCTAGGAATGTTTAGGCCTTAACCTAGTAACAAGTCTTGAAAAAACACATGCAATGCACGATAAAATTTTACTTTCATTCATTAATTTATTTTTTTTCAGCTTAGTCCCTTATTTATCAGGGGTCGCCACAGCAGAGTGAACCACCAACTATTCCGGCATATGTTTTAAACAGTGGATGCTCTTCCAGCTGCAGCCCAGTACTGGAAAAAATGTTCACTTTATTCATTCATTCATTTTCCTTCAGCTTTGTCCCTTTATTCATCAGGGGTCACCACAGCGGAAGGAACTGCCAACTTACTCAGCATATGTTTTACACAGGAAATGCTCTTCCAGCTGCAACCCAGTACTGGAAAAACCCATACACATTGACACATATAAGTTATGGCCATTTTAGTTTATTCCATCAACCTATAACGCATGTCTTTGGACTGTGGAAAAAACCGGAGAACCTGGAGCAAACCCACGAAAACACGGAGAGAAAATGCAAACTCCACACAGAAATGCCAACTGACCCAGCCGGGGCTTGAATCAGTGACCTTCTTGCTGTGAGGTAATCGTGCTACCCACTACGCCACAATGATGCCCCACTTCCACTTTATTATAATTAAATTATCAATTAATCTACAGAGTTTGGTGCCTGGTCACCTGTTACCCAAACTTGACATCACACAACATGTGTGCACATCACAGTCTTGATGCTGAAGCAAAATATTGTCCAGCCCTAAAACCATCATGCTATATGCATATGCTTTTTATGCTTCATATTGCAATCTTGTACAGTGTAACAATAATTGACTCAGTGTCCTTGATAAACCAGACCTTTGCTAGTGCCTGGGTTTGTGTTCACAATATACTTACAAAAGGGAACAGGGAGCAAAATGAAACACAACATTAAAAACCTCAAAGGACATTTGGTTAGCGCACATTATTCCCATTATTAATGATGTTCATTACTCTCACTGGTCCCCATTTAGATCGATAGGATGAGGGCTAAGTGTTAGCACTTAAGAACAGACACCGCAAGCACCTACACACTCTTAAACAAAGCAAGACATTATTAATAGCAAAGCCAGAATTAATGAGCTTGCACGGTGTAACAACAGTCTGGAGAACATTAGACAGGTTTAGAGGTCACTAAATGAGAGCTGTTTGCTGAAGTGGATTTGGAGGTTTTTGGCAGCCACTACTGGAGGATGCTGAGTAAAAGGTTTGAGGTCAAAGGGTAAGTACAGTAACATTATTTAACAGGCTTGAGACAGTACCTTAATGCTGATCTACAGTTATGTGACTGTTACCTTGGTTACTGAGGAATGAACGCAGTTTGTGTTTTCTTGGAAGGATAAAACTTGCTAGACTGGAGAACTGCATTTGTGATGGAGGCCAGTTTTATTAGTGTTACTAATAGCTGCCAAAACATATGACTTGCTTGATTTTATGAACTGAGACTGGGAATATACTGTAGACCTAGGATACATTAATCATACAAAAATGTAATACTGTGGTTTATTATTACAATTTTAAATACCCGTTCACACCAAGTAATATTGTGTTTAATAAATGTCTAATCATAGATGTCTTGACTAAGACAAAGCTAAATTGGGGCTGTGGGTCAATATCTAATAGACATCTAAGAATAGCCCAAAACTAGACTATCAAATACACAGATTAGACAGACTCACATGTGTAATCATTCATTATAGTGTATTTTAATTTTAGGTTATTCCTAGATGTCTATTAGATATTCGTTGACAATCCTTTACATTTTTTTTAAATGCAACAAATGATTGCTGGGTTTTGTTATTTAGTTTAATCATTTTTTTTAATATGCCCGCAGCAATTCTTAAAGTATAATGATGGAGGATCAAACTCACCAGAGTTTGCTAATTACTGGTCTTTTTATTACAGTTTACTAGTTGTCTAGAATTGAAATAGTATATTTATAACATTATATTTTAAGGCTAACTACTAATCAATTAAGTTTGGATGATTTTTATATGAAAATATTTTGTAAACTTTCAGAAATAAAGGAACACGAGCTGTCACTGGGGTGGTGCCTTTTCAAAAGGCACACATTTATACTTAAGAGTCCATATTGGTACCTCAAAAGTATACCTTAGTACCAACAAATTTTGTATTTTTAAGTACTAATATGTACCTTGAGGTATTAATATTGACATTTAAGGTACAAATATGTACCTTTTGAAAATGTACAGTACCACCCCAGTGACCGCTTGCATACCTTTATTTCTGAGAGTGTATACAGGGTTTGACATTAACTTTTTAGATCACCAGCCTCTGTGGCTAGTAGATTTCCAACATTACTAGCCACTCACCATTTTCACTAGCCACAATTTTGTTGTTGGGAATATATAATATACATAAATTTGATTTTGACATGCTAAAATTACTTGATTTCCACATGCCTCCTCATTCACTTAACTTTTTTGTGTGTTGTGAGCTTGGTGAATAAGCATGAGGACATGGGTTATGGTTTCATAGTGTTTCACTACAAATAGTTTTTATTTCACATGATTTTACAGGGCTCAAAAAATATAAGGATTTACCAAATCCTGGGGGTTGGGTTGGGGTTGTGGTACTCAAGAGCTGTGTTGTCGCGCGATTACTGAAGGGCGGTATGTGTCGCGGGGGCACTTTTGATTATTTTGGAAGGGCACTTTCTATTCAAGAATAAAATGGGCATGTGCACTGCACAGGTTGAGCCCTACGTGTGCACGTGCCTGCCCTATATTAATCCGGGGTCGCCACAGCGGAATTAACCGCCAACTTATCCAGCAAGTTTTTACACAGCAGATGCCCTTCCAGCCACAACCTATTTCTGGGAAATATCCACACACACATTCACACACACACTCATACACTACGGACAATTTAGCCTACCCAATTCACCTCTACCGCATTTCTTTGGACTGTGGGGGAAACCGGAGCACCCGGAGGAAACTCACGCGAAAGCAGGAAGAACATGCAAACTCCACACAGAAACGCCAACTGAGCCGAGGTTCGAACCAGCGACCTTCTTGCTGTGAGGCAACAGCACTTCCTAGTGCGCCACAGCCTCGCCCTAGCTGTATACTTGATTTTTTTATTCAACAAAACTTTTCTTAAAAAAAATAAATTAAAAAATTAAAAAATTATATATATAATTAATTATATATATATATATGTGTGTAGTAGTCTGTCCTGGCTAAAGATCTCAGATCACCAGAACAACAGATAAATCTGGAGTTAATCTCCTGATAAAGAAATGTTATTGAAAATGTTAATTAACCATATCGACAAAAGTAAGTGCTGCTGCTGCTGCTTACCAAAATACTTTTTTAAGAAAAACATCTGGAGCTCTTGAGAGCAGTACTGTGGGTGCACAAGCATCACTTTTTGTCCTGTCTATTTCAAAGAAAACTGATCGCATCAGTTGCATTTTCAGGCACAGCTGCTTCACGCAAGGAAATGGGAGCGCACATGCTTTTTTTTGTGCGCATCATATCAGCTGTTAGCGCGAGGGATCTCTCATTTGATATTCACTTGCTTTCTTTTGCTTGCACGAACACATTTTTGTCAGTCATGCTGTTTCTCAATTCTAAGATCGCATTTGCATGCATATTGCGCCATTCTCATTGTTTTAAGAAAACTACAATTTAAAAATTATTTTCAACCAACCAAGTGACTAGTGGGAGTAGCTGTCTTACCTGCCACAGCTGAAATCTACCCACATTTGGCGAGTTGGTGGGTGTCAATGTCAAGCCCTGTTTGTAGATATGAATAATCTTACCTTGAACACTTATTCTGGAATCTAGCTGTGGCTCAGATGCATATCTCCATAGTGGCTAACATTAAAACAATATTTGTTTTGGTAAATCTAATGGTTAGTCTTTAGTCTAAAAAAAATACTATTTTTTCTAAACAAATATATTTGCGTATTGTTGTTCATTAAATTGTATGGTCGAATCAACAATATTTTATATAAATAAGAATAGTATAACAACAGTAATTTGTATTGCAAAGCAGCCTGTGCTTCTAGTGATGATTAACATTTCATGTTACAATGTTCAGCAATCAGACGGTGGTAGAGACTATTGTATGAGTCATCTGTAAAGATTTTTTTATTGAAAGGGATCAAAGCCAGCGTTGTCATGGAAAATCCCCTTAACAGTTGAAAATATACACTGCCTTTTTTTCAGCAGCCATTACTCTTTTATTTCACTGTTCCTTGACATTTTCCTTGTTATTCCTTGATATCAATATTGAAAACATATGTACTGACTTTTTTTGAGACTTTTTGATTGAAGATTGAAAAAGTGCATAACCAACTGGTGCTTTTTCTTTTTTATTTTGATACCATGTGTGTAACAAAACATATATATTAATAACAATAATAATATATTAAAAATAATATATTAATAATAATAATAATAATAATAATAATAATAATAATAATAATAATAATAATAATCCACAACCTTTACGTAAACATTTGCTTTGGTGATTGATTATTATTATTTTTTTCAAATACCATCTACAACAAACACTGTGAATGTTTGAGTGGCCAAAAAACAATGAACACCATTTCCTAATACAAACATGACCTCATAATCTCATTTAATCTCAAGTCCCAAAACAGTAAAAGCTTTTACATTAAAATGTTTCCATTTCAATGTCAGACAGTTGTAAAGTAAGTGCTCACCTATGACACAGAATGGCTTCCTTGCAAAGCGAAGACGTCCCTGCCATCCTCTGTACCGGCAACAACAACCAGCAGACCAGATGCGAATGATGTACTCCAACCCAAACACAACGATCATAACAAACTCCTACAAAAACAAAAACAAAAATGGTTTTGTGGGTGTACATAGATATCCTATTACTCAGTCGGAGACCTATAAGTACTTGGGCATTTACATTGACAGTTCTTTTACATGCAAAACACACATAAAGTGGGTTTGTTATTGTTTATATCTTTATGAAGTTAACAAGAAGCTTATTATGTTGTTTTATAAAGCTATTCTTGAAAGCATTGTCAGGTATGGTCTATCTGTACAGTGTAAATTTAAGCTGATGCATCACTTAAAGACAGGACGGAAAATTGTTGGGCACAATGAATATTTTAATCCTCAAGTTTTATGAGTATTGTGTCCATAATCACTATTCTGAATGATCCAAATTGTTTGTTTCCACATTATGAACTGCTTCCCTCTGGTAGGAGATACAGTGTATATAGTCCCTAAGTAAAAACCGATATAAGAAAACCTTCTGTACTCGTTTCAGTCAAAGTGATTTCACTCAGTGGCCATCTTTGAAACGCCTCTCGGGCAGTATGCCCAGGCATTTTGTTTGATTGGAGAAACATCAAATTTTCCAAAACTGCTTGCCAAGACTCGATTATCTTATCAAAATATAGATATTTCAGTAATTTTGAGCAAATATGTAGTTTATTGGAAATAGAAATACAGCTGAAAGCAACTACAATTATCCTAGTTTATATGATTAATGCCAACTTAGTCTAAACTACATGGTCTTCCGCCTGCCAAGTCATGTGCGTAAAATGGCACTGTACAACTCCAGAGCACGCAAGCTAGCCACTCATCAATCCGCTGGCACATGTTGTTCGGTCAAGCTATCATTGGATATGGGTGACCACAAGCAAAGTTAAGTGTGGAGCTACTTCACTTCCATAAACACAAACGGTGCAGTTTGTGACACATGTAACAAAAGCGTGAGGTACTGTGGCAATACCACAAACCTAATCAAACATCTACATAGAAAGGACAAGACAGAATATGACAACATCATAACTAGGCCGTCAGAAGAGGAGGAAAGGTGAGGCACAGGTGCTGCTAGGGTGAGAGAAACATCGCTTTCAGGGTCCTTAGGTGCAGCAAGCAGGTACTATCAGAGGGAGAAAATGTGGCAATGCGACTGTATTTGGGGGCTTGATTTTTTTTGACAATAACAAAACAACGACAGTTCCCGGAATTCTTAAACCAATTTTGTTGTAGAACTTTGGTTATGAAATAAGTAATGAAATAACTAAATGACCAAAATGTCTGCAATAGTTCAGCCTGGAGTAAAATGTGTACCTGGAGTAAAATCAGTATAGCTGATAATTTCACTTGGTAACAGATCGGAAAAGAAATCAGTGGTATCGCACGTCTGTTCCGAGCCCCTGCCCCAAAGTATCATCAGTCTATAGCAATGGATGATTGGCTCCTTACTAAAAGGCGGGCTTTATTCACCATATAGTGATCAACGATTGGATCCTGTATTAGAAGGCTGGTCCTCATTCGCCATATTGACCATTTCACTTTTCCCCCATTCAAAACAATAAGAGTGACCTGTCTTGTGTATTCTGTTGTCTTTGTTTCAGTGGGTTTATTTAACGAGAGTTTATCTTAATTAGCATTATAATTATTGTAACTACTGTACTTTGTATAGTTTTATTTTATTACTTTTTGTGGAATGCCTGCACCAATATGGTGATGCCCAGAACAATTTTTTTATTAAAGTTTACTACAACTTTAACTACTACTACTACTACTACTACTACTACTACTTTTAATAATAATATAGACTAAAATGAATCAAATTGCAATAGTTATCAAACAACTGTGTTCGATACATTTTCCAAAATTGTGCTATTTAAATGATAATTGATACAATTTTAACTAAAAATACCAAATGAACTAAACTAATTAATACACATATTAACAAATCACATGTAAAAAGCTGTGAGACAATCTATGATACACAGTATGCTATTGTGTTCAAGATAATCTTGGTATTGCCAAATTATAAAGCCAATGCAAACATAAGCTCACAATACAACATTTGGAAACTCCCTAATGCACACAGGAAGAAGCAGATGTCAGCTTACGTATATGGATCTCCTGATTCCCCATACAGAAGTCAATTTGAAGACAGTATGTTGACTTACATCCTGTATTTGCATTGCATTAGAGATGAAGCAACTGTGACAGAATAAAATGTGCTGCATTATGCTGCCATTCGCCTTTCACTCCAGAGAACTGACTACAGATCATAAACATCATACAGATCATGTTTGGTGTCAGCTGAGTCAATAAGGCAGATCAGGTCAATTTGTATAGCCATCATTACAAATACACAAACCAGCAGGCAGGCAGAAGCAGAAAAACAATAACAAAAACCTTTGATTCAGCGTTTCAGCCTCTCACCTGTGGCTGGCTATTGTCAGGGCTTTGTAATCAAATAACTATTGACAATATTTCAGCAAGCTGAATTAAAGCCACAGGTCAGATTCTAACAAACAACATCAGGGCTTAATAATAATGGTTGCATTTCTACTGTGATCTGACTTGTTTGGTTAACCTGACCTGTGTTGTACTATTAAAAATGCTCTGTTATGCTTTTCAGATGAACTGTAACAGCTTATTCTTAGTGTGATATACCGTATATGTTTGTGTTAAAGGTCTGCCAAGATTTTTTTTCTTAAATCTGAAACTATGGTGATTATAGGGCATCCATTCTTTTTTTCTCAAATAAAATCTCTGTGGTGATTTGACAGATCTTCTGGATATTTTGGTTCTTTTATTAAATTTCTAAATCAAATTAATCCTTGCACACTGTTCAAATTCACTACCAATTTGTTTTGTTAGGAAACATCCACTAATTCATTCAGTCATTCATTTTCTTTTTGGCTTAGTCCCTTTATTAATCTGGGGCCAGATGAACCGTCAAATTATCCAGCATATGTTTTATAGAGTGGATGCCCTTCCAGCTGCAACCCATCACTGAGAAACATCCATACACACTCATTCACACACATACACTACGGACAATTTAGATCACCCAATACACCTATAGCACATGTTTTTGGACTTGTGAGGGAAACTGGAGCACCTGGAGCAAACCCACTGAGAGAACATGCAAACTCCACACAGAAATGCCAACTGACCCAGCCGAGGCTCGAACCCGTGACCTTATTGCTGTGAGGCAAATGTGCAACCCACTGTGCAGCCATCCACTAAATAAACTGCTGTAAAAATGCATCAGATATTTCTTTTTTCTTTTTTCTTTGCAAAAATCTGTTAATCAGTCCTGATCAAAATTACATATTTTCAATTTAAAAAGTAATTGTGGACTGGATTTAATTTACCTTTAATCACAGTCTTGGACATGTGAACAATTAGTAAAAACATTGTCTTTGATGCATTGTTAAATTTAAATTTTTTTCTCCCTTATTTACTGTTGGTGGCTGTTTTTGCCCCATTGGCTTCAATTATAATCAAATTTGATGGTGCATAAATACACATTCTTTGTTTTTATTTACTCCATGTAGTTCTGAGAGCTGAAATGCATATTTTAATTTTCTCAGATCAAGGTGTGTAAAGTCACTCTCACAATCTCACACACTCACACACACATACACACACTGTAATTTGCTGTTATACATTCATTTCTTGTCGGCTTAGTCCCTTTATTAATCTGGGGTCGCCACACTGGAATGAACCACCAACTTATCCAGCAAGTTTTTTACGAAGTGGCAACCTATCTCTGGGAAACATTCACACACACACTCATACACTATGGACAATTTAGCCTACCCAATTCACCTGTACCGCATGTCTTTGGACTGCACACGCGAAGGCAGGGAGAACATGAAAATCCACCCAGAAATGCCAACTGAACCGAGGTTCGAACCAGCAACCCAGCAACCTTCTTGCTGTGAGGCGACAGCACTACCTACTGCGCCACTGCCTCGCCCTGCTGTTATACTCCTATAAAAAAAAAAACTGAAACTAAAACTTGGCCTATCTAAAGCGTTAATGGTGCCAACTGATGATCAACAGTAAAAGTTACAAATGGTACTTCTTCCCAACAGGAACAACCACCAACAATCAAAAATGCTTGATTTTATGCTGTCATGATTTTGTAATATAAAAAAGGTTATAGTGGAAGTCAATGGGGCAAAAAACAGACACCAACAGTAAAATAGGGAAAAATAATAAAAATAATAATGCATCAAATGTAATGTTGTTTCACATGTCAAAGACGTAAGGTAAAAAAAGTTCAGTCCACAATTACTTTCATATTGAAAATGTCATTTTGTGTTTTTTTTCCCCCCCACCAAATCAGTGACATTATTTATGAAGTTGGCAATTAAAGAGTTAAACTCCCTTAGTTTTCCAAGCAATTAAGTAGTTTTGATCAAGACTGGGATTGACAATCCCAACAGATTTATGCAAAAACAATTGAAGTTGAAAATTGAAAATATTTATTTGATTTATCTTTACAGGAGTTTAATTTAGTGGATGTTTTCATCCATTACATAACCAATGGGGAGTAAATTTGCCCACAGTGTATCGTTGAGTTCCTTAAAAAAAATAAATAAATCAAAGCACGTTTAAAAAATATGTGTCAAAATAAGATTTGACAGTAAAAACTATTCCAGTAGCTGAAACACAGAAAATGTTATGGTCAAATTAAGACACAAAATTACCCCAGAGTGGATGATAACATCCCCAACAGCACATAAGGGTTAAAATATCTGGACGAATTGATTTAAAATGATTGCATGTGCTTGTGTTTATTGTGAAGAACAGATCTATAGATCCTCCAAAACACAATCAGCAATACACAGATTTGCTAGTGGCAAAACAACTGCATTATGAAATCATCTAAATAATATTCAATTATCAGCCTGCGAGCAAAATAACATACCATGAAACCGTTTGTTTAACGATATGCAACAGCTATTCATAAGTTGTAGTATTTTTACAGGTTTACACTTGTGTCAAGCATATTATATTTACCACAGCAGTTTGTTTAATTTGACCTCTTTTCTGTGACAGCATGGAAAATGCATAATATTTAAAATAATTTAAAAAGTAGCAGTCTGTGATCTCCTTTACTGTTTCAAATTAGCCACATATTAGCGGTCAGTGCATATTTCTTCACAAATAAATATCTAAATATGAGTAACCTTTATGTTTAACCTATATCTATACTGCAGAAAAAAGTGAGGTACAAATGCTTTCAAAGTATGTTCGTTTCTACATAAAATGTCTATACTAGCACAGCAGTTTTGAATTATTTTAATAATCATTAGAGATATTGAAATATATATATATATATATATTACATTATTGTTATTTTCTCAAATTCAATGAAATACTCTTTTAAAAAATATCCACAGTTTCATGGAAAATGTTTTAATATCGCCTTCGCCTCAAATCATATAATCTAATCCTGTTTATATAAAATAAGCCTGCTCCCTAGCAGGATTGAGTTTACCAATCTGTTGCTACGACAACAACTCCTGGATGACGTTTGATGAAGGAAACTACTGTAGATTATGTCAAACAGTTTGCAATCAATCCAGGTAACTGAGAAATCCACAAATAAAGAACATACCCCAGATTTCTAAAATGCAACCCAGCAAAATTTTTTAGTTCAGTAGTCAAAAGAGCATTGAAATCTGTCCTATGATTAACTAGAATATATATTAAAAAAATTGGGGACAATATATTTTGTTTATTCTCTCTTCTTTGTGATGTCTTGTTTATTGCTTGTTTTCACCCCATGGCCTTCCAGTCTTCTTCCTTGTGAGTAATTATAATAAATATACGTGTTTTGATAATCTTGCGAGTCTGTGCCTTCCTCAAGTGAACTTGAGGCGTTACAGTATAATAAATGCACTTCTCATATGACAACATTTTTCTTGCCCAGCTCTGGCCCAGAAATCACCTTTTGCTTGGCCCAGATTCATTCATTTATTCATTGATTTTCTTTCCGTCTTAGTCCCTTTTATTAATCTGGGGTCGCCACAGCGGAATGAACCGCCAACTTATCCAGCACGTTTTTAAGCAGCGGATGACCTTCCAGCTGCAACCCATCACTGGGAAAGTTTGGCCCAGATACTGCGGTCATTCATTCATTCATTTTCTTGTCGGCTTAGTCCCTTTATTAAACCAGGGTCACCACAGCGGAATGAACCGCTACCTTATGCACATTTTTACGCAGCAGATGCCCTTCCTTCATACACACACTCACACACTACGGACAATTTAGCCTACCCAATTCACCTGTATCACATGTCTTTGAACTGCACCCGGAGGAAACCCACGCGTATGCAGGGAGAACAAGTAAACTCCACACAGAAACGCCAACTGAGCCGAGCCGAGGTTTGAACCAGCGACCTTCTTGCTGTGAGGCGACAGCACTACCTACTGCGCTACTGCGTTGCCCAGATGCTGCGGTGAATTATAATAAATGGGGGAACCATGTCTGGCTTCCAGGAAACGATTAAACATGGACCATATCTGGGCCAAGTCTCAGTTAATTCTCGAATTCTACTTGATAGGTACAATTTTTTTTTCTTGGGTCAAGATAGGCCAAACTTACATAGCTCACATATCAGTTTTTAGCATTTGGGCCAAATACTAAATTTGACATCTGGCTCATGTCTTGTGTGCCGCCTCAAAGATGGTGCCACCTCTTCCAAACCTGGGCCATGTTTAGCCCACATCCTATATTCCAGTGCCCGATGAATGCCTGCTGTACCAGATTTATGACTAATCTGGGCCAGAATTCTTTGCTACCTGGGTTACTGTCTTCGAACAGAACAAACAAGTAGGTAGTAACTCAAGTCTTCCTGCACTAGCTTAAGTAGTTTTGTTAGAGATTTGAACAATCCCAGCCTTTGTGTCTGCAAACACAGACTATGACTTGGAAGAGTTTGGTTTGTGTTATTAACATGTTGTGAAAACTAATCCACATTTGATTCACATCAAAAAGACAAGGATTCACATCCATATTTGATTTGACAGAATATAACAAAAGGTATCATTATTGGGCATTTTACTGTGCTCACTAACCTTAGTAGGTGTAATTCATATATGGCAATGAGTGTTTGGTTTCCAACTTTAGACCAATCCCAACAGATCTGACCAATCAAAGTTGAGCAGGCTTTCAGAAAGGAGGGGTTTATGAAAACGTATTGATGGATCATTGAAAATATTCTGAGAAAGAAGCAATGCTCTGGTGTATATCAAGAGAAAATTAATGTGTTTTTTGACCTTGGAGGAATATAAACTCTGTAGATTTGTTAGCAATGTAGAGGTACAGAATTAGCATTCAGGTGTGTGTGGAGACTCATCATAAGGCAAATAGAAGCTGCCTTTGGTTAGCAGAAAAAAAGCACTATATAATGGGCTATATAGAAAATGTTGCCGGCTGGAGCACAAATCAATCTCAATAAGTGCTGCAAATGGAATTTGAAATGGGCACCAACTCCAAAAATGAGCCATGAAAGATGTAGTAAAAACATTGCATATACCTTCTATGCCAAGTCAATGTCATCCTTTCAATGTACAAAAACCAAAAGTTTATCATATATTATTTAATGTAGTTTAAGTTCAGGCCTAAATAAGTATGTTGTATCAGTTTTATGTGACAATACGACAATTCTTCATTCATATTTTGACAAATAAAAACTATTAGACACGTATGTGATAAACATGATGCATGTGTATATACAATTACTTCTGTCATTTTAATTTAATGCAAACTTAAGTTTAATGATCAATAAACAATATTTTGGATTATCTACAGTAATTGTAACAATTAAAATATTTGGAAATCATTGTTGGGACATTTTAAAAGGTCAAACAGTTTACTAAAGTTAAAAATGTTAGGACAATGCTTTTTCTAAAATGTCTGTTTATAAAAGCTTTGCAGTTAATATTTTGCTTTATTTGTATTATGACACTGTAGTCCAACTCTTACCAAAATCAGAAGACTCTGAGAGGCCATTTCCTGGTGATCTGGAATGGTAGAGAAGACAGACAGAACCAAGCAGCCAAACACCAGCACAAACCTGGAAAGACAAAAAAAAGAAAACTAAATTTTTTTTAATGATTTTTAGTCAAAGATTTTTCTCAAACATGAAAAACAATTTGATATTGATTGATATAAACATTTTAAAGTTTCAGTTTACTTCAGATTTCCTTAATTTTTACCCCTTTCAGTTCTACAGAAATATCTTTGGCAGAATTAGACACTAATCTGAAATATTTCTCTAAATATTTCCAACTTTATGTCCCATAAAAATAATTTTCCATCATCAATAAGAAATATGGCATGAGGAAAACTGCTGTTCACAGAACAACTGTGCCTGGAGATTTGCATTATTGACCCCTTCAAACAAGGGGTTGGAGACATCTGTATTTGATCACTGGACCTCTACGTCAACTGCCTGCTCTCTAGCTCCCAATTCCTCTCTCATCCTTTAGCTTTATCCCTTTTGCTCCATGTAATCTGTTCCCACTCTGTATTTTTCACAATTATTAGTCCATTTCCTTGCAAATTCTCATGCCTCCCTCCTTGTCTTGCTTTCATTCAGCCTTTTTTTTACTTTCTCCCACATACTGTAGACATAAAGACACAGAAGGCATTTTTGAATAATAAATAAATAAAGACAATTTAAAAATAAGTTTCAATTATATGTAAATAATGAAGGTATGGTACAAAACAATACAAAATCAGAAAAGTAGTTTCATTGCATTTTTGAAAAGTTTTTTGAACAGATTGTATTATAAACTATAGACAAAAATTTACCACATTTAAAAAAATCATGTTATTAACAATCATTATAAAGTTTTTTTTTTTTTTTTTTTTTTTTTAACTTGCAATGTGTCACAATCACCAGCGATCTAACTCTCATAGATCACTGAGAATCATTCACTTTTACTCAGGACTACAATTCTGTCACCTTATGGACTACCAATCTTGTTATGCACCACACACTCACACCTGTTCCGGTTTTCCACTGATTGCTAACACACAAAGCTGAAGCTGTTCAGAATTGATTAAATGGACTTTAAAAGCAGAACAGACACACACACACACGCGCACACACCAATTGCTGAGTTTTGTTAAACTATACTGTGAGCATTGCGACATGTTTTCCTTGCCTTATCTTACCATACAACTTTTGCTTTGTTTTGTTTGTTTACATTGCTTCCTGCCTGTAGACCTTTCGCCTGTTTAATGACCTTGACTCTGGATTGCTTGTATACATCTGTTTGACCTAGTTGACCATTGCCTGCCTGACTGCTTGTGGATTCTCAGGTGAATGACTCCCAGCGAACTATGAGGGTTATATCGCTGGTGATCCTGACGCAATGTCAAAAGTAAAATAATAGCCAAAATGCATAGTTTTTAGCTGAAAATAGTGTGTGTACACACCTGCTTAAAATATTTCATTCACACACACACATGGATGCACGCACGCACCCACCCACACACAATCTAGTTGCTAATCTAGTTGTCTAACCGTGTACAATTTTTGTTCACACTTATATTTACCCCGAAATATATATTTACCAAGAGAAGCACTATGTTCAATCAATCAAACTTTGATAAAACCCACCGTCTAAAACCTTCCAAACTGACCTCTAACATACAGCAGAGCCTCACACCCTAAGGCATATAAAACACTTCTCTATGACTTAATACAAGTGGACAGAACTGAATAGATCAGAGAAAACACGACCTTGGCTGACCCTATGACTGAGATGAACAGTTTTTGCTATGCTGTGCAGTTTCGTGTTGATGCGAGAATCATTAATCTTACAAAATACAGTACTCTTCTGTATGTTTCGGTTTACTGCTTTGCAAAATTATCATTAGAACTAATCAAGCACCATCTTCATCACAAATGTTTACAGAATTTTCCCCTTACAGAATCTTGAGACCTTTTCTAGTGGCGCCATGTGGTTGAGCCGGACTCTGTCTAAACTGACCTGAGTAAACTAGACGAGGCTATAATTTAAGAGCTTATAAAACAGGGTTTAAAGGCTTGATCTATCGGTGTGGTGTTTGTGTGAAAGCAGTGGGCGTTATGGGGTGCCTCACCCTTTGACCTGGCCTCTGCTCAGAAACAGCGGCCCAGCTCCACTACAGAGAACACAGGGCAGAGGGCAGGGGCAGTGTTTTCCATAGGCTGTCATATGGCAATGTCTTTGCTGCATGTCTGGATTTACTCACAATTCCAGTTCTCACTGAACGAACCCATTAGAGCATTCAGTGTGTCACGTGATTAGCTGCTACATTCAGATCTACTTTATGGTGACGGCTGAGTAAGACGTGCATGGCACTTGTCATAAATCATAATTTATAAATATATTCAAGCAAATATGCTTCAGGCAATTAAATACACAAGTATTACACTGTAAAACCCAATAAGTAAAGGTAACTCAAACCATTTAAGGAAATTGCAACAAACCAAGTTAAAAAAACTAACCCTAATGAGTACTGTAAACTTAATCCATTTGAGTAAACGAAGCAATTTCAGCACAGTAAAACCCAATAAATGAAATTAACTTAAACTAACTGAGTACTGTAAAACCCAATAAGTTAAGGCAATTTAAACCATTTGAAGAAACTGATTGTAACAAACCATTTGAGTTAAAAAAACGAATCTATTTGAGTACTGTGAATTTACTTCATTTAAGTTGAGGGAATGAGGTATTTAATTAACTCATTAGCTTCAACACTGAGTTCAAAACACTTTTCAAATGAGTAGACAACTTTCAGTCAATTTTAAGTCAACTACACTCATTTCATTTGATAAAGTTGATGTTGGGTTTTACAGTGTAGCAAACACATTTGTGTTTTGTAGAATACTCGCTGATGTCTAAATTACAATATATATATATATATATATATATATATATATATATATATATATATATATATATATATATATATATATATATATATATATATATTTTTTTTTACTTAAATGTCCCCAAGAAATCTAAACTAACCATATGAGTTTGTAAGCTCACATTGCCAGTTTTGTGGTGAACAATTAATCTGTGCATGTCATTAATAAAAAAGTTTGCCCTTCTAATCTTTCATTGAAATCTGAAAATGCACTTTCTGTTTGTTTTCAGTTAAATTATCAGATTACATGATTTTGAGGTAATGGGTGGGGCTAACATATTTAACCAGGCTGGTTCAACTGTCAGTTTTGACAACAAACAGAAATAGTGAGAAGGAGGGTTCTGTGGTTGTAATAACTCTTCTAAAACCCCTTTCCCAATCTTTCTGAATGAAGTGCCAACCTTATCCATTCAGCTTGCAGTAGAAAAAACAAGCCACACCCACTGTTTTGCTTATTTAATATTCAGTTTCTCTAGGAACTGCATCACAATACGAAAAAAGTAACGATCACAGCTTCTGGTTTGTTGGGACTTTAACACTAGAACTGTTACAGAGGCTGTAATTTTGACCATTTTTAATTTGCTGAAATAAAACCCATGTATCTATAATACCCCAACTTTTCCTAAATATGTGTGTATATTTCTTTCTAATATTGTTATTTTATTATACTTACAAAAAACAAAAGAGCTATGAATGTTTTTACATTTAATTACCATAGCGGGCAAATGACTGCATGCATTTCTGCTGCCTAGCAACTTCCTGCTGACATAAACCTAACTTTCTGATAGCAAAATCATAACTTTACTTATGTCTTTCAAAACAGTATATTGAGTGTCGCAAAAAAAAAGCCTTCTCCTGTGCTTATGAAAGTAAAAATGAAAGTGTTCTAGTAGCCTACCTACACATTTATAGGTTGTAATATCAAAAATATTGTATTTTTATGGTAATGACTCACTCATGACAACAGACATTTAATGATGTAAATGTAATATCTCAATAGAAGCTTTGAATGTAAATATGAAATGACAATATTACATGTTATATGAGAACCGTCAAAATGACTGCTATGGCAATTCCAGTAGTTGTAGAATTCATGATCAATGTGCTTTTTTATTCACATGTAATAAACAGGCTCAGTCTATTCATCCAATTGAACAGCTACTTCTAGTACAAAATTTCATGTATTTTGAGAGAAGTTAAATTAGAGAATTTGCATGTTGTAAACAGCTCTTAGTTTTGTACAATAAAAAAGATTAATTACATATTTTTTGACATATAGTAAAATTAACATATGCAATGTTTTTTTTACTACATCTCTCAGAGCTCTCAGGGAAAATTTAGTCAACAATTCATAAGGACAGTTACCTGAACAAATGAATATTTTTTTTTAAATGAAACAGTTGAGTGAATGTTTCAATTACTCCAGAGTAGATGGCTACTTGTTTCATCAGTAGTTGTTTTCTTCAGCGACCTTCTTTGAAATGCCTCTCGGGTAGTATGCTCGAACATTCTGTCTGATTGGGGAAACATCACATTTTCTAAAACCAAGCTTACGATTGATTTTCACATTAGAAATCACCAATAAAATTAAACAATAGCTGTCACTTTAGTTTCACTTCTAAACTTCCAAAACACACAAAATCTGCAGAAACTCACGTCTGGTCCAACCCCTCACCTGGAGTATTGTCAGTCTATAGCGATCAATGATTTGCTCCTATACTAGAAGGTGGGCTTGATTTGCCATATACCAATCAATGATTGGCTCGTGTACTAAGAGGTGGGGCTATATTCACCATATTGACCGTAACACTTTTCAATTTAAAAAGATACAGGTGACATGTCTTATGTGTTCTTTGGTTAGACATATTTATCAAATTCAAGAGTCAATGCCATCTTTTAAAAATTTTTTAGGGGTTTTTCACCTTTATTACGATAGAACAGAAAAGATTTCAGACAGGAGAGCATTGAGAGCAGAGAGAGGGGAAGGATCGGCAAAGGACCTCGAGCCAGGAATCGAACTTGGGTCGCCATGAACACGTCAGTGCTATATGTCAGCAACAATGACAATCTTTTTGCAGCTAATCCACAGATTACAAACAGTTATCTTGGAACTCCCCCACACATAGACAGATGGAATGAAAAACTGTG